GCCTTGGACTGCGCCGTCGGGGACTTGATGGCCGGAGGGGGCACTGGAGGAGGGGGCAGATCTGGGGGGGTGAAAGAGAAATTGACAGTAATTACAATGACATTGCACACCAGTGAAATTAAGAAATAACATTTGACTTTGTACTGAAGAAACAGATGCTCTTGTTTGCTTTCTGCCCTCCTCTCCCCACCCCAAAAAGTGTTATGTTACTGTTGAAACTGCTGATGGGTATTTTTCCAAAAGCTTGAGCTTTAAAAACACAAAGGATGACCTCTCCCTGCCTTTTCAAATCACAGTATTTTCTTAATAATCATTACCAAAAACTTCAGGCTCTTGGATATCAGTTATGGATACCAGCAAAGAATGAAGAGTAATAACATCTCCTTCCTGACATTTGTAATTGTTTGCTAAGTCCATTCAAGAATACAGCAGAATTGTTCAAGGTCTTCGGTGTAGTGAGCATTAAAGCAAATGAGCTGGGATGTAAGAACATGTATCAGATGCATTGCTGACATATGTAAAGATAAACTATATGCATCATTACACTCTTCCTTTAAAATAGTATGTTAAAATAACACACATATCCTTGATGTCTGTGGTTATGTCATGACATATTAAAAAAAAAAAAATAGTGCAGTCAATGAAGTAATAAGCTCTCAGAAAAAAAAAAAAAAAAAAAAAAAAAAAGAAAAGACACACAAAGACTTCTGGATTTGTCTCTTTAAATTAGCACAGCTTAAGGGTTTCTAAAATTCTGAACTTCTAAAAATGCTATTTATAAAGAACACACATTATTTACTTCATTATAATTTTCTATTCTTGCATTAGGACCTAAAACTAGAATATGTAAAATGTTCATCGAGATACAACAGTGCTCTGTGGAATATTAACGTGAAGAAAAAATATAGGAGTCAAGCAAGGGAGTGGCAATACAAAAGCAGTTCACAACAAAGGTACAGGCACAATTCATATGGATTTAAGAGAACAACAGTTTAAAAAAGTGAGATGAGGCTAATATTCTCAAGTGAAATTGCTAGGAAAAAACCTATCACTATTAAAAATTGAAACATCGGCCTTTTGTAATAGTGGGCTTTCTACTTCCACAAAAATCAGGGAGCAGCTGTGTTTTTCAAACACCATCACTATATATACAGCTAATTCGGAGTCTATTCAATAAAATGTTTCAACTTAAATTTACCTAAATTGGGCTAAAAAATAAAGGTAGTAATCCTGAGTAAGAAAAACTAGATATCTAACATAAACATGTAAGTTCAGATATGGCAGATGCCAGACATTTTTGAGAGGTTTTCCGGTGACACAAAGCATGAGCTCCAGCCCTGTGGAAAGACTGAAGCAATGCAGAATTCAGTGCTGTGTGTAAGCTCACTGGGAACCATCCACCACACTCACCTGATGACATATCTTGGAATTATCCTTTACCTGTCCTAAACAAGACTGGGAATCTTATCAATTGGCTTGACTGGAATGATGAGGAAGAAAGATGTCAAAAAGTGTGGTTCATAAGGTTGGACATACTTCAGGGAAATTATATCCTGCTGCAATAACTCTACTGTCTTGGTGGAAAAAAACCCCACAATAAACAAACAAAGCAAACAAACAAAAAATCCCATCAGGGTAGTTTGTTTGTTGATTTTAGTTTTGGAGAGCAGCTAAAGGTAAACAACTGACTATTGAGACTTAATTTTGAGTATCTACCTAACACTCAGTATTTGCAGGTATCTTTTAAGAAAACAGACTGTCATTTGCAAACCCCAAAAAGGAATTATGTAAGCTTGGATAAACTCAAGTGCCTGAATCAAAATGAAAGGGAGGTTTAGATTGTATATCAGGAAAAGGTTCTTTACCCAGAGAGTGGCTGGGCACTGGAACAGGCTCACAGGGAAGTGGTCACAGCACCAAACCTTACAAAATACTTGGCAAGAAAGCTCAGAATCATTTATGGTGCATTCCTTTGTTATCTGTAACTGCTAAACATGGTTTGAAGAGGTACCCTCTGTTCACAGCCTCAGCAGTGAAAGTCTGTAATTCCAGCCATCAGAGTAGCACTCAGACCACCTCTTCTGAAAATGTCCAAAAATGCTCTTTGGTGGCAGGTGAGGTTCAAACCAAACTACTTTCACTGGCCTGCCCAGCTCTGTAGATCTGAATTTGAATTTTTGGATCACAAAGATCCACACCCATGTGATCTTAAGAGTTAATACCTGCTGCAGAAAGTGTTGTTCTGAAGAAGTACATGTAAGTATATAACCCTCTTACAAATCAGCAAGCATGTGAAATCTGCCTAAGACCTCAGTTGTGTGTAATTTGTTCCTCGAAAGCCCAGTGCATAAATCCATGTCAATCCAGACTAAAGTTTATTGAGCACAAGAACTATTCTTCCAAAGCAAAGCTGAGGATGGACCCCACCCCTCACAGAACACTTACAGCAATTACTGACAGCAATAACAGAACTTGGATTAAAAAATAAGACAAACTCCAAATGAGCCTGTGGAGATTCCAACAATTCTTTCCTTCCTGAGGAAAACTTTCTTCTTACAGTATATCTTCCCTCAGAAGTGGACACACTGACTCAAAATGAAGATACTCAAACTCAGAAGTGTAGACTTTTGCAACCAGTGCTTTTCTTTTAACTCAGGTTACATTCGTCCTTATCTCAACCCTTTGGGGTCCCTGCTGGGCACCAAAAAGGACTGTCATGGTTTTAAACCCAGCTGGAGATGAAATTCCTCTCAGCCACTTGCTCAACCTTTCACCTCTCTCATCCCAGTGGATCAAAATAAAAGTTGTATGTTGAGCTACGAATAGTTTAATAATTGCAAAGGAAAATAATACAATAACGGTAAACAATAACAATAATGATAACAATGAGGGGGAAAAAAAGTGATGCGCAATGCAATTGCTCACCACCCACTGGTCACCCAGTTTGGTCACCATCCACTGACCAATGAATGCCAGACCCCTCTTCCTGAACCCCTCTGGGTAAATCCCCAGTTTATATACTGGACACAATGTTCCAGGGTGTGGAACAACCCTTGGGTCAGTTTGGGTCACCTGTCCCAGCTACGCTCCCTCCCAGTTTCTTCTGTGCACCTCCTCACTTGGCAGTGCATAAGACAAGAAAAAAAACAACAAGTCTTTGATTTAGGACGAACACACCTTAGTAAAAAAAACATCATCAACACCATTCTTATTCTGATCCAAAACAAAGGCCTGCAACAGCTGCTGAGAATAAATTAACTCTACCCCAGCTGAAGCCAGGACAATGCAATGTCTTGTGTCTTGCCTGCTCCACTCACTTTCTCCTCAATAAAGCACTGAACAGCCCTTCTCTGGAACCTGCTGATGTAAAGAGAGTGTAGATATCCAACATCAGCCTTTTCAGCCTCCCTTGGAGCCCATGTCCAGCAGATGTGCCATGGCTGAACAAATACGAAGGGAAGGAACATTCCTGTAGCCTGTGAAATATTGCTTGGAACAAACTACTTTGTTCAAGAATCCTCTACAGCTACACAGGAAAAGGAACAAAGTAGTGTTGAATCTTCACTATGGAAAGGGAAGATGCACTGAAATAAAATATTTCATAAACTGGCAGCAGCTCTACGGTAGGTACAGTAATAACTAAAGAAAAGTGATATTTGCTTTCAAGAACATTTTTGCAACCTGCAGGGAAACTATAAAAATCTTCATTATAACACAGTGCTTCTGACTGAGAAGAATCCTTAACAGAGGGGAAAAAAAAATCCCTTTCAGAGGTCAACACTATTACACCCCTGTGGTATTTATTTTAACAGCTCAGATCACAGAGAAAATCCAGATTCAATCTACCTCCTTGAGTACAAACTGACACACTTCTTATTAAAAGCAAAATGGAAGCTTCCATTGTAAGGAATAAAAATAAATCACAAAGCAACATCAAACCCATGGAGAAGAACTCAGAAGTATTTGTTAAAGGTCAGCTGTGCTCACATGTTTCATTCATGTCTATGTTTCACCGTTATCCTGCTTCCCATGTAACTCAAACAATTAATGGATGCCATTTCATAGCTCAGGAGAAAGGTTTCTCCTACAGGAGAAACCTTCCATAGGTGTCTTTTGAAAAGGGAGAGGATAATTTTCTAAATGAGAACACACACAGGAACCAAGGCATAAGCTAAACAGTGTTGAGGAAAAATAATCTGCCAAATTAGGTTAACACTAAAGTGGAGACACCACAAATAAGCACAACAAGATCAACTGTAAGTAGTGACCAATGAGGGAATTAGGCCTCATTAGGCAACTCTCTCTGTTAAACTCCATCAAGCTGCAGATTTTTTCAGTCATACCCTGAAGAAAACAGCAGTTACAGATTTGATGCAATACTGAAGAAGGCCCCTGGAAGTGCTCAAGGCAAGGCTGGATGGGCTCTGAGCAACCTGGTCTAAGGTGTCCCTGGCCATGGCAGGGGGTTAGAACCACATAACCTTTGAGGTTCCTTCCAGCCTAGGCCATTCTATTATTCTGTAAGATACAAAGTGAATTTTTAGTCTATTTTATGTTCATGCTGGTAGGCAAAACTCAACATTGTTCCTGACTTGAAAAAGCCTTAGCCAGCATTTAAGATTTCCAGACACATCATAATCTGAGCTATTATTCATGTAGTGAAGTTGTTTTCATGCTTTGTCTCTCAAGAAACATGGCTCACACTGTACACAACAACTGAATGGACAAATTAATACAGCAAAGCCCAGTATGATGTATGAAAGCTGTTGCCTTTTTTTTTCTGTTATGTACATTTGCATAATTATCAAAACAATTTTCACTCCACAAAACCTCCCTCAAGTAAAAAATTCTGTATTTAAAAAATATAATGGGCTCAGAAGTAAGGACTGAGAAGAGGACAAGCATCTGAAAATTATTATAATTCAGTAACAAGCTGATTTTTAGCAGAGTAAGAAATGCATTTCTACTTTTTTTTGTACCTTGCTAAAATTTGCCTCATACAGAGTAGATTGTTTTGTACTGCACAGGCAGAGGGAGACAAAAAGTACAAATGGTGTTGGCATGCATAAAGGCTTAACATTTCCAAGTGAAAATTCAAGGAATATTTGGCAGATGTTCAACTGCCTTTTGTGAGAAATTCAGCTGCCCTGACATCATGTCATTGGTAACACAGCTAAATAACTCAGTGACAGTCTCAGCCAGTTAGTTGCAAAACTGTTTATAATTTTTTCTTCACTCAGAGATTTAAAGAATCAGGATTTAAAATCTCATGTGAACTGTGAAAGGCATAATTTCTACTGAAAGACCTACTGAATCAGAACAATGCAAAGTACTTTTATCCTTTTTATCTAAATGCTTACAATTCTAGGGTTTGTAACAACTGATAAAGCAATTCAAGACAGTTCAGAGGGGAGTCTCCCACTTATATTTTTAGAAAAGACAAACATACCCTTTTAAAGTTTGGTTTTCTAAATTAAATATGTAAGTAGGTCAGCCAAGGTTGAGAAGGAGGGTACATCTGCTAGTTGGTTCTTGTAATGCATTCTTAGTAAACTCTCCTAAAAGGCTAGATGAAGAGCAATTAAAAATTCATACATTTTAATCCTTACCACCTACTGCGCAAAGATTTTTAGCAACAAATATGAAGAACATTTCACTGCCTGGATGACTGTCAAGGTACAAAACAAGTGACTTGAAATCTCATCCCACATAAAGTGGCAACTGACTTGAACTAGTGCTCACAGAAAATACAAAATTGTTACTACTTGGACTGTGAAGAGTAGATCAGAGAGCACTCTTATTTAAAAACAGGTAGCAGTAGGCCTTTTATTGCTACATTAGTAACAAACACACCTTCAGAAAGGCCAACCTCTTTCACAGATTTGTCTGTATGATGATAGCAAAAAAAGAGAATTTTGAAAGATTTATATATATTGCTGCTGATAATACTCCTGGCATTTTCAACTATTCATGAAAATCTTTAATTTACTTATATATTTTTCCTGTCAACTAATCATTTAAATTCTTCATTACACTTGTATTTCAAAGAAGTACTAGCAAGTACTAATTCAGGTAATTTGGGAACAGTAGAAAATGCTTTCTATGCAATTCTTTGAAATGCCATTTTAGAGGCTGAGAAAGTAATAAAGGAAAATATTTTTCTCTTTTCAGTATTTATTGAATACTTCTGCTTTTTATTCCCCTACTACTACAAACACATATATGTTTACACATATATGTTTCATTATGAGAGAAAAAAACAACTCTGTATCAGGCACTACTTTATGAAAAAAGATAAATAATTGTCATCAAGCCAGTATAAAAACCTAAGTATATCTCAGAAAGGTCAATTGTGCTTAAATGTTTCATTCATGCATCCATACCACTTTTCTCTACCTAAGGAAAGAAATTACCATATGTTACTTTATAGCTAATTCTAAAGGGTCACAATATACTAGATGAGGCTATTAAAGTGATTGGTTAGAATGTACAGTAAGGTTCCAAATATACGGAGGGGAAAAATATAATAATAAATAAATAAATAAATAAATAAATAAATAATACTATACTTATGCAAATAGACTGAGGGGAAAAAATAATAATTAAAAAATATCAAAACCAAACTAGTCCTTCAACCTTTGAACTAGATTTTATTAGATCTGCAGGAATTAAAGCCATAATTTGCTACTCCCTGAATGACCATACTGTATAGCACTATAAAAAGGTTAGTGGAAATCTTACCTAATTAGAAAATATGCTGAAGTAAGCAGGTGCTACATAACACAAAACAAATATTGATCATGATTGTCAAATTTATATTGCAACATCTAATGACAATAGTTCTATGATTTAACTCTGTATAACTACTTTCACAAAAAACCTGTCATCAAATAGAGGCCCACCTCTTATTTATCCCTGTGTTAGAAGCAAATGGCCACATAAAACACCTTTATTTATTTATTTCTGATGTCCTAACTATTGTGTTTGTATTGAGGCTTGATGCTTTGCCAATTATTCAGTTAAGAGCATTCTCTTCAAGAGAATAAAAGCTGATAAAATGTCAATAAAAATCCAGTGAAACGCCATTACAGGACTCTCATAAACGTAACGTGTCTGGTACAGTTTTGGGATTTACACCTTGTGTTGTCCTTTCACAGAAGCAAACATGCACAAAAGCACTGCAATAACCTCTTGAAATCAGATAATATTCCAACAGCTCAGTTTGGCTGACAGAAGGGGCCTGGGCACAAGCCAAGAGGCCCAGGTGCACTGTGTCATGCCAGCATTTAACGCAGCCTAATATCAGATAGATGCTACTGAGAGAAAATGCTCCCAATAAAGTACAGATAATAGCACGGACAACCACTCATTGCTAAATTACTTCTGCTCATCGTGCTTTGAGCTTTGTATTAAATTTTTTCGTCAAGTGGCAGGAATCACAGGGAGAAGTGGTTCAAAACTCCCTTCTTGTAACCCTGGATAAGGATCTATAATATTAGCCTTTCATATGATAATGGCAAATGATGCCCCTCTTTGAAAAAATTCAGGCTGGTAATGAAAGTCCTAATCAGATTGTTGTTGGAGAGAAGCAGGAGGTGGAGAGCTCTGCCCTTCTCTCCCTTTCCCTTGCCTCCCCTCCCCTTCCCCCACATCTCCCCCTGTTAGCAAATTCCGCAAACTTGACAAGATGGGTTAAGTCTTGGGGAATTTATCTTACATGAATTTCCAACAAAGCCCACGGATTGCTTCATACAACTGGAAGGCAGTGCTTTAATAAAAGCTGCACCACCTGAGGCATTTTCATTAAAGGCTCTCTCTAGACAACATCACAATGTTTGCATTATCATCCTACACCCCCAAGAGAATACAAGCACTACCTTTTCAGCAAGAGTTGATATTGTGTGTGAAGGCACGAGAGAAGATGATTAGATTTTGCTTTCACTCACGAAGTAACCGCTTGCAACAATGCTGTGGCCAGGATTACAATTCACTGAATTTGTGCTGCCCACCATTTGAACGGTGAATTGCTTTTTTTCAGGAAAAAGCACATTCTGTAGGTTCTATTAGCCGGTCACGTGAACGAAGATTTTAATCCTAACCAAGCATTATTCTCAATGACTGTACTATTTAAGCTATCTGAGCTCTTAACTAATGACGGTAATTAGCCGATTAGGACACTATAGAAAACAGGTGCAAGGCTCTGGAGTGGCAGCATCAATGTACAGTATTAAGGGACTCCGGCATTTAAAATGATTAAACTGTTCAGCTTGTTTAGCAACAGGAAACACAAATCACCGAATTCTGAAACGCGGTGTTATCTCTGCGGAAAAATTTCACACGCACGCACTGAATGCACATTTAGAAAGGTTCACTGAAGCTTTCACCCATTTCAGTGGACTCACCATCTGTGTAGACTTCTCTGCGCAGATGTCCTGGCTGGTGTTTTTGCTTTTTGGCAGGTCGGACCTTCTGTATTACAACAGCACTCATGTTGCTGTCGGTGGATACAGGGCTGGTGGGTCTGGGACAGTGCGATGCATGAAAATGTCTACGGCCTGCAAATGGTTACAGAACAATAGCCATTATTCTTCTCACCTAAAATAAGACCTTTCATACTTTTTCTTTTCACATCAAAATGCTCTAGCTGTACAAAACCTAAAAATACACTGCTGGAACAATAGCAAAGCTCATCCAATTTTAGAATGAGCTGTAACTAAATCGGAGCATTTGCTATCCTATCATTAGGCAGGCTGGCTTGGTTGCACAGAAATTATCCAGCTGCTTGCTAGCTGGTAGCTCCTGCCCCAGGAGCACAAAATCCATCAGCAGGCAAGCACAAGCAGGATTCCCACCCAGCCAGTTTCTGGAAAGAGCAGAACATTTCCCTTTCATGTTCCCCCTCCCCTAGCTTGGGCCACACAAGGTCACCCCTGCCACAAGCAGAGCAAGTGACCAGCAGGGTACAGAAGTCTCCTCTGCCACTTTGAGTGAATTTTCAATAATGCATTGAAGCTGGATGGCTGGCATTTTATCACAGATTATTTGCAGATAAGAAGTGTCATGTTTTTAGGACATGCAGTCAGGCACACACAATACCAATATATATAGATCATTGCTTAATGAACTTAACTGTTGCAAAAATATTAGCAAATGTATGTAAAAAGACCTTTTCTAAACATGTAAGCCTCTACACATATTTATAGGAATTTATTTGTACAAAATGGATAAAATCCTGGCCCCGTGGGTACGAATGGGAGTTTTGCCACCTACTTCAATCGGTCAGGATTTCATCCAGAATTACTAAATTACCTCCCCTCTCACTCTTCATGATGAACAGCTGTGTTGAAATGAAACAAAGGACTGTTAACTGGGAGAGGATATCTGAAGTGGGAGGAAGGTTGAAAATCTGTGGAGTCAGGGTGGACACAGTTGTGACAGAGTACCTCTTCTGCAGGTCTGGCAGTTTAATAGGATTGATTGTCAAAACACTCATGGAACTGCCTGAAACCAGCATGCCAGCCTGCTGTACTCTTTAGATGAAGTGTAACAATATCCATTTTTCCTAGTAAGGCTACTGTCTATATCCAGTATATCTGTGTATATACAGTGTTACTAGTATCCAGTATGTTGTAAAAAATACAATATTTCAAATAACAAGTTTGATATGTTCTGTGGTGTTTCAGGAGAAAGGAAAAGTGAAAACACAAACATATGCATAAGGCCCTGCTGCATATGCATACTCTATAATTTAAAATGCAATTCATAACAGCTATCAAAATATGAAACCAACACAAAGCCAGGTCATCTCAATAATAAAGCAGTAAAAGCCTGAACAGAATTCCTAAAGAAAAAAAAAACCCAGGGAAAATATGAATCTAAAGGTTTACTATTTATTTGGACACTTCAAGAGAGAGGGATTAAATCTTCTCTTGTGGCTGAAACACTCTTCTGAGTAACTGAAAACACTGGGAGCCTTATACTAGGAAAAGATAGACTTCTATAATCCTTTATTTTCCCCTCTCTCATTCAGTTCTGAGTACAAATCCACCAGTAGGGCTGGTGTTTTGGTGTTTGTCTGTAATCAGTGAGACCAAAGAACTACGAGCTACTTATGAAAAACACTGTAGAGCAGCAATTTATTTGAACTGTTTCACCAAAACTCCTGTCCTGCCTCTTCCTGACCTGTAAACATCCCAAGAAGAAGAGTTCAGAAAGCACCTATGGCCAGGTTCATTCCACAGTGGCTACATTTTGGTTCTCCTATGCCAGAATCCAGGACATTCCTCTGGCTGTCCTGAGCAGCCAAGACCCCTGCCAGGGGTCCCAGAGCCCCTGGCACAGAGCCCAAAATGCCTGTGGTTTTGATTATGACCTGTGGAGCAAGTTACCTTAGATGAAGATCTGCAAGCCATGACAAATTAATAGAATGATAGTGAATTTAACCTGAGGTGATAAAGTAGATTTTGGGGTTTTTTAGAATGGAGGTTCAGGGGGCAAGATGGAGGGATCTGGGCGTGTCCAGCCTTTCTCTTTCTCCTTCTTGGCCTCCATCTTCTGCTGTGATGTTGGCACTTTTAGATTGGTTTAGAGTAGAAGCTCGCTGTCTAACATAGGTGATAGGTATTGGAAAGTAATTGTAAATATTGCATATGTAGTTTTTAGTATAAAGACATAACACCAGCTCAGGGGCAGGCAGAGTGCCCCGGACTGTCTTGCTGAGGGGAGCTCAGCAGGACAGGAGAAATAATTTTATAGATAAGGAACAATAAACAACCTTGAGACCGAGAAATTAAGAGCTCTGACTCCTCCTTCAAGCGCCGGGCTGGGAAATGAGATTTTCTAGACTTTCTAACTTTTCTCGGGGTCATTTTGACAAGCAGAGACCCCGACATGGAGCAGAGGATCACCCACCTCCTGCTGCCTCGTGCATTTGCCTCCGGGCCACTTTGAGCCCGGCGTACTCGGCGGCTGCCGCCACGGCCTGTGCAAAGTCGGCGTCGGTGAAGAAGGAGCCGTCGGAGGAGCTGACGCTGGAGCGCCCGCTGGAGATGTTGTCCTCCTCGGAGGCCGAGCCCCAGCCGTTGATCATGGAGCCCGTCACGGAGCTCTCCAGGTCCCCGACGCTGGAGGCAGGGGTCTGCTCCAGGCCACGCAGCAGGAGCCTCCTGTTCTGCATCTTGGCCACCTCGATATCCGCCTCGTCCTCCTCCTCTTCCGGGGCGTCCGTGTCCATGTCGGACACCAAGGGCCCTGAGATGTATCCGTAGGTGTGAGGTGGGGAGATGGGCCTTGGAGGGGGTGGAGGACTCACAGGTTGACGTCTGCATTAAAACACAAGGGTGAGAAGAACTGAAATCATGTAACAAAGTCAGAGGAAACAGCAGATTGATGCAATTTTTTTTTTTTATTTCCCAGCAAGCTTGGCTGGCCTTTTTAAATCCACCTAATTTATATCTGAAATGCTCAGGTTTGGTTTTTTATACTTTTGCTGTAAATCAGAACTGCCAGCTATATAGCTTGAAATCTATCACAAAGAAATCTGAATTTTTAACACTGTCCCTTTATCACTGTCTTTAATGATAAAGCCATTCATTTTCTCTAAATAACACATGTAGAGCTAATTACTTAGAAAACTGTAACAAAAAAAAATTGGTCACAGATCATGTGGCTATTAAAAAATAATAATTGTGCACCCTTGAGAGTATAAGCAAAAGAAATAACTGTAAACATATGGCTTGAAACTATCGATGCCAACAGATGCATCTATCCAAATAGACTGCTCCATTAAAACTGTCTTCCCTCCACCCACCCTGGTGATTCAGAAAGACATGAAAAGAGAGATTGCAACTTCATTATTTTTTTAAATTGATCTAGGTGATGAAATAAAAGTATTTTCTACCATATGTTAGTTTTAGGCCTTAGAGGTAGCAACGTGCATACAGATGTATAGGTAAACTAATTTTGATCTTAATTTGTCAGTAATGGTATCTTCAGCCTAAGGAGGCAAATTATAAGATATCAGATTAATGTTCAAGATTAGTTAATACTTCACTCAGAAGTTCCAGGTAGCAACATTGTCAACAGTTCTTCATGGGGCCACAGACACACCCTTAAAGTGCCATTTGTCAGGCAGCAAAACACACTTTCTGCAGTAATGGCTCTCCCATTCTCTGCTGGCTGTGCTCAACAGGAATTTCTACTGCAGTCTGCTTTGAAAAAATTTACAAGTAATTTTCCTTTGTCATCTTTGCCCTCTTATTATCTCATTGAGAAATGGTGACTCTCATGGTTAAATCAACTCTTTTGTATGGATGACATGCAATTTTGTTTGGTTTTTTTTATTTTAATAAATGGGAATGTATGTTAATTTTGGAAAGAAATGTTAGCATGGAAAGACCTATGACTCTATAGGAAGAGACAACTGGATCCTTCCTCGACTACATCATTACTGTTTCTCACTTGCTGCATTAAGTACTGAACAGAATTAGAAATAGGGATAAATATCCAATAACCATTTTACAACAGCACCCCCAAATCCCAGAAGCTGTTGCTGCCTGTAATCTGTACCTGCTTTGTCTAGAGACCTTGCCCAATAAAGCTCTTGTGACAAATGTCCTTGTGATATATTTGTCTATTCTCTAGGTTTTGGTTTTAGAAGACAGGCAACTGGTTACAAAATATGTTAGGGTTCTTGAAAATGTGGTTTAGCTGCCAGCCTTTAGGGATAGGCTAATTGAGAGCAGCTGGTTCACGGGCACACAGAATTAACAATTCTTCTTTCCCTTTATCTGATGCAGGTTCTCACTTTCACAGTGACATTGTCTCCTATCTCAGCTCTGGGTTCAACATGATACCATCTGCCAGCCCACTAAATCCTTAGGTTTTTTCTTTGCTTTTTGACTCTTCCAGACCACAGGTTTGTATTTCAGTTTGCTATATTTCCAGCAAGCTCACTAGACAGAGAAATACTCACTCTCACAACCAGAATCCTATTCTAGATGCCTGGTTCTGTCTACCACAGTAAATAACACCCAGCAGAACTATGAGTAAAGCTAATAAAATTATGACAAACAGCATTTCAGGCATTATTTTCACTACACACCATTTAACATTTCACTATACACTGTTTACAAAACACCCAAAATCAATGTGGAAGGGCACCACGTGGAATGTATTGTTAGTTTGAAAGTATTGCCACACCACATTCAAACAGGACCCCACTCTTCCAGAATGGGTTACAGCTGCTGAGCACAGGACACCCAATTCCTCAACAGCAGCCCTGGGTTGTATCAACACCAGCAGATGGAACAGGTAGCCAGCCAAGCCTTACAAATCAAATAAACAGAATTATATGACTACTTTAACTGATGAGATGGATGCAGCAAAAAAGAAAAAAGAAACAACTTTTGAAAATGGAAGATGGAAAAGACAAAATTAGGCACTAACAAATTCTAAGATTTTCAGCAAAGCTAAATTTAGCCATTGTAGGAGGGACAAAATAAATATACATTTTATTTTTTCAGTCCACAAAAAGAGTAAGTGGTATGCCCTAGGAGCCTAAATTGGAGCATCCTTCCAGCTCCCCCTGCCACTAAGTTTTGATGGCATTGATGGTGACCAGCCAGAAGTCTTTGTGCTGAACAAAACTTCTACTTTCTAGACAGCTGCTGGCTGGTTATGCACGTTTGTGTATATCTGCTCCTGTGCCTACTCCCTTCTGTATGTCAGGACACATCTCCCAGTCTCCAGAAAATCACAGAGATTCTGAAAAGCCACTCATGACTATTGGTCACTTGGCTTTTCCCCTTTTCATTTGTGTCCACCTAGCTTTACCTCTCAAATAACCCAGAAAATTTAAGTGATTAAAATGAACACTTCTGTAGACCAGCGCAGCAGGGCCAATGGAAATTACAGGAAATTTGCCATCCAATAATGGAAAGAGTGATTTTAAAGACTCAGGAAGGTAAGGAAGAGAAAAGGATGAAAAGATACACAGTAACAGTGTTAACCATAAAGAGTAAAGGAAACAAACCAAGGCAGATCAAGTAGGGGGAGCTAAAGCAAAAGCAGATATAGACCCCTTTAAAAAAATATGTATAACTGCTACCTACTTACAAAATGGGAACCAGAAAGATGACCTAACTTTTAAATAACATTTTGGAAAATACATCTATAAATATTCAGTAACTTATGTTGAAAAATCAAAGCTCTACAGTCTAATCAGAAAAATCATATAAATTTCATTTTAAGAGGCTTTCATTTTGCTAAAAATAGAAATTCCACATAGAATGCTGCCTGTAAGTTTATATATTTGTGGCAATAAACAATATGTGCAAACCACTGGAGGAAAAAGATAATAAAAGCCCATCACTTGGGATGGAAAAGCTGTGCCTTCTTAACAAAAGCCAAGAGATGTAAGCATCATACATAAAAGGGCTCATTCAGAATTCACTGTTTTATGGGAGAGAAGCTGTGAGAGTTTATATGCAAAACAGTTGTAAAAGCAACTCAGAGAAGAAACAAAATTTCCCTGTAGCAAATATCTGTCTTTATTAATGTTGGTCATTCCTTTAAATAAGGTTAGATGGAAATGTTAAGAAAATTTTGCAAGCAGTAATTTCCTGTATTAGGATTTACGAGAGGAGGAAAATCTATAGGTTATATAAATTATATATTTATATATATTCATACATATTGGTGACAAGTTAATTGCACAGTTACTGTGAAATAATGCATGCTATTTTATGGTAATAATGCAGTAAATCTATTGGAAACAATGGAACTGTAATTATATGGTAAGCTGTGCTAACGATACCACTTTAATAACCTGATGACTGTGAATTTAACTTATGTCAGCATCGTACGTACCCTAAAGTGATATACTGCATTTCTTCCCATGGTAGAATAACAAAGCAACTTAATTACTTATTTCTTAGGTTAAAATAGTTCTAACATCCTGGATTAAAAGTCAAATAGCAACAGAGTAACGGGGAAATTTTTGGCCTCACTAAATTCACCAGGAATTTTCAGCGGGGCTCGGATGCCTCCTGTCACATCTCTCTGGCTACATTTGCATTCACACACCTCCGGTCAGGTTGGTGTTGTGTGTGTCCCAGATCCTCCTGACAGTCCTGTAACATGGGCTGGAGCTCTTCCTGGGGAGAGGGGGTGAGGGTGGCAGTTGACTGGTGGCTATAGGAGACAGCGGCTGGAGAGGAAGCTGCTCCTCGCACAGGTGGAGTAGGACCCCGCTCATCTTCTTCCTCTTCCTCTAGCTCATCCTGCTGCAGATACATCCTTGCAGGTGGCACAGGACAAGGAATTTCCTGGTCATAGCTAAAATTAATTTTTTAAGAAAATAAGGACTTAAATTTGTACTGTGTAATTAGCACATGTGATACATGTATAAATAGCTCAGAAACAAAGCACTGTTCTCTGTGCCCTTGAGAACAGCTCAGTAAGGATGTGCTGAGTGGGTGCACACCACTGTCACTAAGTGCTCTCCAAATTGCCATGCTACAGCTTGACTAGCAGCACCAGAGCAGTGCTGGAGGAAGGTCCCACTGCCAGCTTGTAGGGCAAATCACACTTCAATTAACTGGTGATTAAAACAGGAGGTGCACAATCTTACCCTTCATCCACTGAAAGGCTGTAATCTTCACTGTTGCTGTGGGGAGGAGGGTGTGCTGGAGGGGGTGGGAGAAGATCTGCCCAGTTCATGCCAGCTTGCTTGGGAGCCTTTGGGGTCCGAGCACCCTTCTTGTGCCCTTGACTCCCTGGGGATAAAAAGCAGCACGTATTTTTAATGCTTTGAAGTGTCTCCTCACCACTGACTATGAAAACCATAACAACTTCAGTTCCTTCCCAGATGCTCTTGCATTCTTTGAGAATTTACTGTTTTGTTCAGTTTTGAGCAAATTGGCATTCCTCCTTTTTACACTGGTTTGTGCTTGTAGCCTCTTTGTAGAACTGATCTACATTTTAAGTGGTTGAATTTAACCAGGAACTTTACATAGCATGGAAAAGACACATGGGATACAAAACTTTAATTTTTTAAATAAACAGTCAAAATGCGATAAAACCATAAATGAATTTTACACGCAATGTCATTAAGAGTGAGCTTCCTACTTCTGTTAATTACATTAAAGATTATCATCTAAAACAAATGAGCTGTAGACATATTTTCTGAAGTGCTTTTATCCTATTTAATTGCTAGAACCTAAAATACAATATGATACAGATATGATCTATTAAAGTTCTACCGTTGCATTAAGTCACTGAATATAGGTAATTTGTACTTGTCCACTGAAACATTTTAGGCACAATGAAATTACTACTTTTAGTCTAAATGGCAGGTGCAGTTGAAAATAATTGCTGGAAGAACTAAAATAACAGAAAAAAAATAAAGATCGATGAAGTATTTCACAAATGTTTTCAACTACTATTACTGGAAAATTACAGCTCATAATAAAGCAATGTAGCTTTAACAGTTCAAACAACTGTGAATAAGACCAATTATTCAGGCGGTAGCAAATTTTAAGTTTGGACATGGCTAAGATGAAAACTGGCTCAACCATTGTTCCTTGGTATCTACACATTTTAATCCTTCTTTGCTATTGTTACATCTTTCTTATAGATAAACTCCTTTTATGTAGATAAAGTCACTGTGATTTTGAGTGTTTTGGAATCATTCACATTTCTCTCTTAAACTGAGGCATGATTTTATATTATCATAGTAAAGCACTATATACATGATTAAATATACTGCAGAGAGATTTAGGAAGGTTTTTTTTTCACTTCTGCTGTCTCAGATTTTCCACTCTTACTGAAAATAGTTCTGGTAATTATCATCCCACATGAGCTGCCAGATACACATGTTTTAGCAATGTTAAATTGTTTTTGTGGTATCTTAGTATGTCAAGCAAGACACTAACTATCCCAAGGCGACCTGCATTCTGTATCCTAAGCACCATGATATATACACAGTTCAACACAATTAATTTATTACTTTGGTCACCTTGCTTCATTCCTGCTGGAGTCCTTGGCATAGGACTATAAATTGTTAAGAGTTATGAATAGCCCTAAAAGGTATCAGCATGCAGAACACCACCCTCTCATTTTTAATTTGCATGGTTCATACCCCTGAGATGTTTCATGCTGAATTTCAAGTCTTAACATCATTGAGCACAGGCTCAGCACCACATCCTGATCTTTCAGACCTGGGAATGGGCAAAAGGCTGTCTCCCAGAACAACACAGCTGAGCAGCTGGGAGAATTGGGAGCTGTACTTATCTCCTCCCAGCCACTGAGAATTCAGATCAATCAAGAGGCACAGCAGGGCTCATCAACATATTTACGTCTCTGCTGTGCCTTGGTCAGAAAAAGTCAGGACAAAGCACAGGTTGGGATTAAGGCAACTGTACTATCAAAGAAAACAGAACAGAATGCAAAAGTCTGCATCTTGAGTAGTAGATGTAAAGTTCAAGGCACTCGTGACTGTGGCGAGAACTCACCCTGAAATTGATTTGATATAAATAAACACAGCCTAACTACCACACTTACAGTAAAGCCTCAAACCAAGCCTGTGTGTAGTCTCTGGTTTAGCTCACATAGCTCTACCAGAAATCAAGCCTGGAAGTGAAAAGGTTATATCACAATGATAAAACATAACTTTTGAACTAAAACATATCCTGTGGTCCCAAAGTACAGACTGCACAAAACGCTGTTTTGTTTCAAGATTTTTACAAAGGATTTTTAGATTGTTTGTACAGGAGATGCCAATGAGAAACAAAGTTTAATTATCTACCATCTATATCTAAATGATGTACATAAATAATTTTGACATATAGTGACTGAAACCTATAAAATTTTATGTATGCCTGAATGCTTTTTTACTCAATGAAATACATGGGTTTAATTTACAAAATGAAAAACTTCTTAAAGCAGAGTTCTGTTGGGTATCACTCAACTACTGTGTATCTTGAGCAGGTTCATGAATTGGGTAAGAAGACCCAAGAGATGACAAAAAAAAATCACTAAAGTACAAGGAAGGTAACACATAGATTAAAATCCTTTTTTTTTTTTCCCTGGGGAAAATTGGAAAGAAATTGCTATGACTTGCTTATTTGGAAAACACAACATTACCCAGTATACCACCAGTGTCAGGAAATCCAACCACTATTCGAGTTCATGACTTTCACAATTTCAAAAAATCAGTTACTTAACTGACATTTGGATGACACTAAGCAATCCTAAGGATGTAACAGAAATACAGGCACTTACTGGGACAGTTTTTGTGCTTTTCAATATCTACTGTCCATGCACTCCTCCCCATCACTCTTTCTCTAAGCCCAGCAAACACTGCTAACCACAGCTACAGCATCCAGACACCACAAAGCCTGAGGCTTGGAAAACACTGCAGGTACTCACCAGATGTACTGCTGCCTCTGTCTGAGCTGTTGTAGGATCCACCTGTATTCTGGTCATAAGACTGGTTGTAGGGAATAGTTGGAGCAATGTTGTCATTTACTCGGTAATCTGCAAGTTTAATGGTATGGTTAATGCTGCCCTTCAGGAACACATCTACTTTTACATACTTGCTTTATAACACAAAGTAAGATCTCCTTTAAGTAGTGAACTAGAAACAAATTCATCTTGTGAAGGAAAAAATCATCCTGCAATCGTGTTTTATTTTTATCTTGCCTCTTATTGTAGGCTTAGGGGAAATCATGGGAATTTAGTAACTACACAGCTAAAATGGAGTAAAATGGAATTCTGTGCACAGGGTTTTCACAAAGCTTCTGCAACCATCAAGTCTCAATGAATCTGTCTGTCTGTCTATCTACCACTTGTGTGAGCATCTTGCACACAAATACTGTCATCTTGAACGATGGTCTCTGCCTAATTTATGCATGCAGAGCAACCAACAGACTGCAGTGACTACTTTTGGTATTTTAAAGGTGACACGCCCACATAAGAGTTAGCTCTGTAAGACAAGGGCTGAATGATCTGCTGAAGCAACAATGCAGCTCCAACTGAATTTGATTTACAACAGAAGGAGTCTTTGTTTCAGGTCTGCTGGCTCCAAGGATATTTTTATTTACACTGGATCATGCAGGTTCTACAGGCAGGGCTTTTTTTGCTAATGGCTGTTACCATAACTTTGCTCTCCAGTTCCAAAGCACTTGGTATACACTTACTACTTTTAAATCTAGATCTGGCAACCAGATCTGTAAAACTTCATCAGAAGTAAAATGTTCATCTGGCAGAACAATACCCTTGTGCTAAAAAGCAATTACAATTTACAGAGAACAGAAAGGAGGTAGGTTACTCTTCATACAGCAAATAAAACTGCATCATAAACAGAACCACTGGACATAAAGTAGTGACAATGAAGCACAGCATGTAACTCATCAAAACAGTTACTTCCCATCACAAAAGCTATAGGTATAATCAGCAGCAAGATGGCTTTGACTTAGGAAATGAGAAAACCAAGATCAGAGATTCAACTCATAAAATAGCAAATCAAAACAAAAATAAACAAAACTAAGAATTCAGTTCCCATCTGCTGCAGAAATGTTTGTGATAATGTAAGCATAGGAAAAAGAGCAAAATGATAAATTTCACACCAGAGTGTATTCTGTAATAGTTTCTCAGCCTAGCTACATTCCACAGACCACGCTGAAGCCCTGCATACCGCATATGTTTACACAGAGGATAAACAGTAAATCAGCACTCTGAAATATGTATATATGACTGTCAGCAGACAATGCTTTAAGGGGGCCTTTCCACACTGCAGTATGCTAGAGAATATGCAGCTGTAATATACACAATTTGAAAGATGCAGTATCTTCCAGCACATAAAAACCAAACATGTTTTAATTCTCAAAGAGATACGTAATACACAGTTCACGAAAGAGAACAATTACAAAAAATACAGCTTTCACCCTCTAGAGTAAGGAGCCAAAACCCTTGATTTTTCTTTTGGCATGTTTATGTCAAGGGAAGGTGTGACATTTTATATTGCCCTTTAAACTCCTCTGTGAGTAGATGGGTCCAGTAGAGAAATCAACATTCTTGTAATGAAATGTCTCTTTTTACTGGATCACTTATCACTGTGTGATCACTTGAGTTACAACCTTGCAAAAAAGTTCCAAGTTAGAATGGGTCCAACTCCTAGGGATACTGTTTTGCAAATCAGGTTATTAAGAGAGGTTGCATGGTAGCCTGGAGGACTAGAAAGAAGAAATCACATACCTATTTCTTCCAGCTCCCACACAGTATATTAAAGAAACATGCCTTCAAGGCCTCAAAAGCACATTCTGATATTTCCCGTTAGCACTGAAATCAATTTATTTTTAGCTTCTGGATCCACAGACTTCAGTCAGGGTAACACAGGAATTTAGTTTCCAAAACTGTGTGCGGTAGCATTGCCTCTCAATATGAGAACTGAAGGCTTGCTAGGAACAAGTCTAAAATGAATTGGATCATTCCATTTGTGCCCCCAGTGTACAACACAATACAATTTTCCAGAGTTTGATATGCAAAATTTCATTCGTTTACATGAGCATGTAGATTTAATGAGTCTCCATCCACAACTGGGAAGAGTAGGTTGACCTATTTAAAATTTAAGGTAGAGTATAATGTGACTACCATGCATCTGGCTTATGAATAAAATATCTGGCCTCTGTCCTAACCAATCCCTTAACTACTATTAAATTTAAATTAATCTCATATCCACAGGAAATGTATTTTATTTAACTCTTTTCTATAGACACAGCTTGTTATTTTTCACAATAAATTCAATATCAGAAAGGTTATCGTGGTGCTAATTAACTTTCTGACACTGCAAACGGTGTATTTCTGAATCTAAAGAGGCAGAAGCCTAAAAGCACTGCAGAAGCCTGTAATTGCTGAACCTGAAAGCTTTAGACTCCCAGAACCAGAAGGTCAAAACTCCTCTGACGCCTAAAGAGGAGAAACAAGCTAAAAGCTCTTCACCTTTGTTTAATTTGTTTTGCTCCATAATGTTGTACTGTATGGGTGGAGCCTCTTGCTTTTGCTGAACAGAGGGTTTCCAGTGTTTCTCATTGGTGTCCCCGCTGCCACTGTTAACATTATTGCTGATACTGGACTGGATGAGCTGAGTGGTGGCATAAGGAGTGGGCTGCCCGGGCTGGCTGACAAATCTTCCGTCCTTTAGATTGGGGCTATTGAAGGTTTTCATCTCATTGATTTTGTTGCTGAGGTCCACGTCCCCATACACAGTTGGCTCAGGCAACATCAGGTTTGTCTGCTTGTTGTCCAGCTGATTGTTGTAATTTGCTATACAATCGGCTAACCACAGAGGAGAGAAAAGAGAAAAGGTCATTCTGTTCGCCTACACCACCATGAAACCCCCTCTAACATTTCCTCACTGCACAACCACAGGGCTTGAACCCATGTAGTAGACACAGGCAGGGATACTGCCATTAACTATATAATTTACAGAATATCATTTACCTTATACACTACTGCTCCAAAAGGAGGGTTCACTGTTCTGATTCACTGTAAATTCAGACCTGCTGAATTATATCTATAATATCTACAATTATATCTACTTACCTTGCTGGGCTTTTCCATCGTGGCCATATAAACATTCATGGTTTTAGACATCATTCTCATAGCAGTATATATATTCAATTAGTAATTGTGATTAAAATCACTTGCATTGCAAGGGAAATTCAACCAAAGGTTAACAGCAGGAGTAACTAAATAAGACCTTCAACTCATGTCACCTAAACAGTATCTAGACACTCTTGTATTTGTTGTAAGAAATAGACATACAACAGGTTTTCATGAAACACACTTAGAAATTATTACATGTAAGAGAATTAAAGAATAAGAATAGTTTAAGAGAATTAAAGAAAAACAAGTACAATGTAAAAGGTAACTCTGTACCCAGTAGCAAGTCTTTATTTGATCATTGTTTGCTTGTACAATCTTATATTTTAATTTGAAACAAAAAAAGGCAGAAAAGCAATCTGGAATTTTTGCTGATTTTCAGTTGCTTTGGATATTGCAAAATACGTAATAGCACAGTAATACATTGTCTTGTATGCTAATGATATTTCATATAAACAGCATGAATCATTCCTCTGACATTCTGAGCCCACCACTTATTGCAGACAGTAAATTGGCATGTGCTCATGCTCTGGCCACTGCATGAAACAGTGTCCCTGCCTTGCCATGTTCTCTTCACACTGCGTGACACGAAGCCCACACATCTTTTTTCCTCTCCACATCCAGTCCACTGGGAGAATACTGAATGAAGTAAAGTAGTCTGTGGGTCAGCAGTTAGAAGGCTTAGTGGAACCAGCATTCAATGATCCTTAAGCAAAAATTCTCATTTTCCAGTTGATTAATGCATCAGTAATTACATAACACTCACCAGGAATATAGTTTTCCTCTTTTAGAAGAAGTGGTATTTATGCTAATGAATTTGATTCAAAACCCAAAGTCCATTACCTGTATCCACAATAAATTTACTGGAGAGGGTGGCAAGTCAAACTACACACAGAATTCAAGATTTTACCATTACTCTGAATGAAACAACTAGAAAACATAGAGGATTTTCAATTTCAAAAACATTCCCTAACACATACACATTTTTAGAGATATATTACCCGAGAAAGGGGAATAAAATAATGCTTGTATAAGAAAACCACCAATCCACATTTTCAGTCACTAAGGAACAGTATCAGAACATGCCACATAGAACATATCACTGCACATTTCATGCCCCCCAGCCTGTGGGTTTTTTTGAAGGCTTTACTGTTTGATATATTTTTCCTTCTTATGTGAGGTGTCTTTACTGCCTCTGTTATTTATTGCTTCACAGTCTTCAACTTCTTGATTTCTAGAGTTTAAATGTTTCATTTCTCTCACCTACTGCATATTAGTCTTTCTTCCTTTCCAAGTCAATTGCATTATACTGGGCAATAGCATATACAGTATATTCTTCTCTCCTGATACCTCAGGCTTTGTTACAATATCCTTGCAGAGTCATTTAGAACATATGTTTTTACTTCCTTTCATTTGCAGCTACATCTGATTTGTGTGTGAGGCAATATAATCAATACAGTATATGCAGTAGGTACATTTTTTACATAGACACATTAGAATTCCTCATAACAAGTACTTAAAACTGGTTTACCTATATAACAGAAGATTTATCTAGTTAGATATTTTTATGGCACCTACTTTTGGAACAATTGGTTCCTGTTCTGTAGACTTGGAAGACAGTGCTGTACTTAAAAGTAATTAAAAATGCAGCTACTTTGCATATTCACAGCTACTGAGGGGATATCCACTGCTGCTGCTTCAGAGCATAAACCAGCCCACGATGACAGAATTAAGAACATTTGGCAGAATTCACAGGAAAGAAGAGATCACTCTGAGCACACTGTCTGACCCACAAGCCCTGAAGTTCTATTTGAAAGGAGGGAAACACTTTGCGACAGAACCAAGCTTAATATGAAAGTTAAAATGAGGGAGAATCCACTGCAGTTCAATACAAGATGTTATAATAGGTTGCAACCATAAAAAATGTGCCTTCTCTTCATTTTCTGAATTTGTTATTTACCAGAATTGCTATGTCTGTCCTTGCCACAGTGGACTATCCCTGAATCACAAAACTTTTCATACAGGTACTGGCGGATGTGATATCCACAGCCAGAGTGAGAGACAAACCTCTAATGCCAAAATCTCACACCTTGCTCGGAAGCAGCTGGCACGGGTCACTGTCAGACAGCATTACTGCAGGAGATGAACTGCCATCACTGCCACTCATGAATTACCAGCCATTTGAGCTGGTTTCACATTAATTACAGGAGGTAATGCTGCTTGGCACTTATGTGACTCCACACACTCCCCCTCTGGATTGCTGGGACATGCTACTAGCAAAAACCAGTAGAGATACTTGTAGTGGAAAAGACTTATTTCATTCTTCACCAGTAACACAAGGTTAAACCAAAAGGAACCTAAGGTCTGTTTAAAACAAAATTTTCAAGTCAGCACTCTTGAGATGTATTTCCTCAAATGTCTTCCACAGAACTCATGAGGTTTTATTCCAGAGCTCTCTGAGTCCTGCTCAAGCTCCCAGGAACTACCACTTAATCCAACATTTGGTAATGTTTTAATGCTTTAATGTAATGTTTTTAATGTTTTAATGCTTTAAGTGCGTGAAATTAACTTCTTAATTCACACACCCTAAACAGAACACCAGCTATCCAATTTTGCTCAGAATGGCACTGAAAGTGAAGTTCTGAGTGTGCCAAAACAGACTGACTTTGTTGCAATGTTTTATTTCTTGCTTTCCATCACATCCAAACCAGAAGGAAAACCACATTGGCATCATTTTGGTCTTTCTCTTTCTCCATCCAAGCAACAAGGATGTACAGAACAACCCAAAGATGACCTTATCTGCTCTATTCAGAAGCCAAAATGTATTAGTGCAGTGTGAGTTTTGGCAGTATTGAACTTTGAAGGGGCTCCTTAAGCCTGCTACAACTATCCAAATAGCACCAAGAAAGGATCCGAAAAGGGACCAAAAGCACCATCATGACATAGAGGAGACACTATATTAAGTTTAAAAAACATTGAAAATGAAACCCACTCAAACCTGTACACTCTCTCAGGTATTAGAAGCACATACTCTGTAAAGAAGGTTCCTTAGCAAGGTAGAAACAAATCTAACCTGGTCGACTGTACGTGGTGAGGTTGCTATCACTGTTGCCATTGCCAGAGGTGCAGCAGTTGATGGAGCAGTCATTGTGATTGTTCCCTGTGTTAGGCCAAGTGTCTGCTAACCATGGCTGAGTGGCTGGTTCACTGATGTTTAGGAGTCCAGGCCTTTAAAAACAAAGCTTGGTCATTTCAAAAACTAAACAAAAGCATTTTCACATTGCAGTGATACTCTTCCCAGAACGGTGAGATGTTACAATATAATACCATGTACTAAAAGCTTGAGTACTGAATAACTCAGCTTGATTCAATTATTTATGAATTTTCAAGTCTCCTGTCTAACCTCTTTCTTGCTAAATCACTCAGGAGTAAGCAGTCAAGATCAGAATCAGTTCAATTTGCTGGACTATAGTATATGCTGGTGTGCAACATCTACCTGTTACTTTGGTTTTCATTTTTCCATTTTTTTTTTTCTCTTAGGGGGTTGCACTTTTATTTTTCTGCCCCTTCACCCTATCTTGAAGAAAGCAAGGTAAAAAAGAGGAAATTGGCAAGTCAAATAAACAAAAAATTCACACGTGGAAGCAGGATGGATATGCATAAGTAAGAACCAAATTTAAATGTGAATATTGCCAAGTTGTTGGTTATTTATGGAACAAATTCTCCTCACCATCAGACAGCACTACTGTGGTGCATCAAAGGGAACAGCAGATAACAGAAACCTCTCAGGCTTGGGAGCATTTGGATCTCACCAAACATGCTGAGGGGGTGACACACATTTGTTCATGAGAAAGGCACTCAGCTCCTAAGAGAGTCTGAGGTACTTGGGAATACCGACCACCTGAAAAATATCCAGATATGAATGCTGCATGCTGGCTGCATTTGCAATAAACTGTATTCCTGTCATCAGCATTCCCAATCTTCCAAGTTGCTGAATTTTTGTATTGAGTGTGAAAAGTCTCTCTGATGAATGCTCTGTAGAATCCTTGGTGGCTCTTGAGTTTTCATGCTAACAATGCAGTGGGGCATGTTACAGTCCCACACAATTTAAAATTGCCTTTGATAACTAAGGTGCTTTTAAAAATAGATAATTTTAGCAACTGTCACATACACATATATGAAAACAGCCCCCTTCTCTTGGGATTTACCAGGCAACTTTCCATTTGAAATAGTGCAGAAACTCTTTTCCATAATATTAGATGTGATGATCTTCAAAAATAAAATATGCTAATCCTCTTAAACTGCAAGTTGAAAATACAAGCTGCATGCAGTTATTTGTGGGGGATAGAGTCTTTCAGTGCTGCAGGCTTAAGTCATAGACTTAGAATGACATTTAAAAGATCTATACATATATGTGTATATATTTCGGTGCTGCATATGTCATCTGACAATTTAACATAGGAGGTGATGAGGCTTGACTTGCTGTCAGGCTTACAAACCAGCCAATATGCATTCAGTAAAGAAGGATTTAAAAAAAAAAAATCTGAAATAAATATACAGCTGTGTAGGCCTGTGAGCAGGCCAGCTGATTTGAAATTCCCTGGTTTTTCCCCTACACTCTGCTCTTACAATGAACCTACACCTCAAGGCATTCAGAGGAGACAAAGCATCCCAGAATGTTTCAGCACTTTAAAGCTCTGTGTACTGGTTTGTTGCACAGAGAATTAAAGATCCTTTGTTTCTAAAATTCCCTTTGCATTCACACCTGCTGTCATGTAAGAAATGTGGTATGATGTATATAAGCATGAAGAATTCTACTAATTGGAGACATTTAGGCAAGAGATGACTGCATTACAGATCCATGGCCTGCTGATGGTTTGAGGTCATAATTTCCAAAGATCTTTAACCTTGGCAGCAAATTTCTTGACTCCCTGAATTACTGGACAGGATCTGAGGCAGGGGTGGACAGAGCCAAGTGGCTGTGTGGGTGCTGGCTGGAGTGAGCCCAGCACAATTACCATTACTCAAATCCTGTCTAGAAAAGGGATTGCCACAGAAATGGGTGTTTTTTCAGCATCACACAAGTGGGGATTATGTTGAAATATATCACTGTGACATTTTGAAATCTGAAAAATGCTTTAACAGGTTCACATAACTGCACTTGGCAAAAATGCTAAACCTTTCCAAAACACTACAAATATAACGTAGGGGAGTGAAAACCTTAGGTTTGGATATCAGAAGATGGTTTCATATGCAAAAATAATGTTTTGGGTTTTTTTGTTACATTGCAGAACTGTGTTTCAAATTCTACAAAATAAGTTACATCGCAAGGCTGTCAGTGCTGCATAGGCAAATGAACAAAGCCAGCACAGATGTTTGCACCTTGAATCAATTACATTGTTAGATTCTGGCTCTGCTGCTGAACACTAGGACAGTAAAATTGAAGTTGATGCTCTAGAAGTACCAAAATTACTGTGCACTATGTAGACACTGGTGGGTTCATTTCTGTTCTCTGTGTGAGAGGGCTTCATCTAGCCTGTGCTAAGGGAAGAGTGAGAAAGCACAGTGGCACAAAGAACACAAAGGATGTTAGCTGAGTATCTTTTTGAACAACTCTCAGAGAAAGAGAGGGTTCACCCCTCTTCTCTCCTATTTTCTCACTCTCCTGTTGTCAGGGCAGCAACCCAGTGATTTACAGATTTTTTCATTCAAAAATCACATGGTAACTATTCTAGAGGCTTCTCTCCATGCCCCTGTGGCCATGAGAGCACAGCAGCACACAGTGCTGGGCACTGATATCTGCAATTCCTCATAATATGCCACGTCCAGCTGCAGCAGGGGCTGAATAACCTCACCTCTGCACAGCACTAGGGAATGCTTTATTCTATGCCTAATCTTCACAATTACCAAGTTTTTGCATGGTCTTGCAAATTAGGAATCACAAGATGCCACTTGTGAATAGGAATTGTTACAGGACTTTGTTGCCCAGCTGGTCACTGAGATTTTAGCATTATTTCAGCATCATGCCAAATCTTTGAATGTGACCTAGAAAAGAAATGGTGTGCTGCTAAAGCACCACTGCTCTGACCTGCCTTTTTGCTAAAATCATTCTTTTTCTTCCTGAAGAAAACTTCATCCCTAGGAATAATTAATATTACTGTTAGGAAATTAATATTACTGTTTTATCCATGGCCATTCATTGAGTAATAATGTAAACCCAGTGAACATGCCTTGGTTAAATCCTCAATCTGGAATGGACTTGGTTCTCAGAGTGGGTGGTTGCAAATTTACAACCTGCTTCCCTCTCCTTCAGTGCTCCACCTATTTTAAGCAATGCTTTAACTGTTTTGCATTCACAGAAACATTTTTTTTTCCCTAATATGTTACCTTATAAGCCATTTATGTCTTCAACAGTTTTTACCAATAAACGTTTTCTTTTTCTGCAGTATTTGTGAAGTAGCTATATTTCTTGATCTTCATAAAGGCCACGACTTAATTACTTTTACTCCCTTAATCAGGTGGCAAGCCAGGTCTTTATTTTGAAGTTAAAGCACTCCCTCTGCTGCTCATTTTTTGAGATGCAGTTTTTACAGGTTAACAAAGCTGAAAATATTTCAAATCGTGTTTTGGAAGTCAACCTAAACATTCAAACCATATACCCTTCTCCTAGACAGAAAATGTATCGACAAATGTATACATTACTATAATGAACTAAAACTTATCTATGCAAGTAATTATTCTGCCATCACTTACAAGGACAATTGAATTCCTGGAATCCTTAAATTTATTTGCACACAATTTATACCTATAAGAACAAAGCACATAATTACCTGCCTCCACTGCTTACAGCCTCTCCTCCTCTCTGATATGTTACTGAAATAGTTAAAGATAAAAAGAAGGAAAAAAAAATTAAAAATCATACAAGACTCCTTCAATAACAGTATTTACTTCACCTTTGTTTCATTTTAGCTAAGACAATAATTGTTCATTGTTTATACATTAATTCTGAGTCTCATTATGCAAGCTACTGCTTCAAATCCAAGTTCAGACATAATACTTGTGTTTCTTGATAACTGCTAGCCCCAGCCCCAACAGGGTTTTATATTTCAGTTCTGTTCTGAACACACACACACATGTATTGCTAAAGAAAGCAGGAAGCCATACATCAGGTTGAACTTATTCTTAACATAACTCTGCTGACTTCAGTGGAGTTGCTCTGTGGAAGAATTTAGGTCATATATTTATTTCATGAATGGCTGGATGTTAAAGCTTTGCTCTACCTTATTATTTTGGCAAGATTAAAGAGGTATCATGATTCTGTAACAGACCTTACTTCCAATGTAAATAATGGCTCACTGCAGCTGGAGCTACTGCAAAAACAAATGCTCTTTCTGAATGCTACTGCAATACACTCAGGGAACAAGCACACTCTAGGAGTTCACAGAAGCTGCACATTTTATAACATTTTACAACTGGATTTATAAATTATACTAAATAGTTTAAAAATTCAAATATATAAATCTTGGTTAAAAAACAGTCTGCAGAAAGAATACTTTCTAAATTAGAAGGATCTGTTTTTCTAGCATTTCAAAAGTATTCTCCATGAACAAGGTGGATGTCCACATGCATTTGTTTGTAGATTGCATATCCTTCACAGGAAGCAAGATGTTTGAGAATTTAGTTTTTAGGATGCAAACATCCAAGAAGAAACAGTGCTATAAATTTTGCAGGTTCACATTGGATTTGGCAAAGGGTTAAGGAGACTGCCTCCTTGCATATGCTGATGGATTCTACACTTTCCAGCTAGGAATGTGCTGAAAACAAGCAGCCAAATTCTGCTCTTTAGAAAAACTCCAAACTGGGAGTCTGCAAGAGAGAGATAAATGCTGGCAGTGATTACAATAACAGGATTAAAATGTAGGATGCATTCCTACAGGTAAGTCTTTTACTGTAGGTAATGCTAAAGAGGGGAGCCAGGTTCAATTTAAAATCAAAGCATGACTGAGATTCTGGATTGAAAAATAAGGATTTTTTTTTCTTTTAAGTGTTTTACATGCTTTATGTTTTCCCCAATTTCTTCTTTTAAAATCTCAAGGCTATTTATTTTCCAGCTCTGACACATCTTAAGAAACCCTGATATTTTCTTTTAATGTTAAGAATCCATTGGAGAGAATAGATGTCAGCTCCCAACCTCTGCAGAATTTCAGTGGCGTGCTACGACGGAGATTACAACAGAAGCCCTCTGTTTAGCCAATTAAAGCAACAGCAAAATAATAAAGAATTTTAAATTATTCTCCACTGAGGCACTCAAAGGCCTGCAGAAACATTGAGGGCCACTCTGGCTCATGCTGAACAGGAAACAACTGTGCTGAACATGAGGGGCTGGCTTGTGAGAGCAGGCAGCCTCCAGTGTGATGAACAGCACGTGGGTGAGGCTGACCCAGCTCAGCCTGCTCTGGGGGATGAGAGCAGGGCTGGCTTCCTCTGTGCTCCAGCCTGAAGGATGTAACAGCGCTGATCAGGAGCTAGCATTCCCTGGGAAACTTCCCAGAGCTGGGATGCGGGGGTTTCACCCTGCCTGGATATACACGTCCTGCAAATCTCACAGGTCTCTTGTGAAAACGGAGGATTTCAAACAAAGGAGGAAGAAAAAAACCTGGCTGTTCACTCAGGCTAAAAGAAAAGCAGAGCACTGATGGGTACAGAATGTGTTGGGCTTTATCTACTGCAGAGGATGAGCTGCTCAGCTGCCCGACTGTGGGACCCACTGAAGGTCAGCTCTACAGGATGGAAAGGCTGTAGGACCCACTGAAGGTCAGCTCTGCAGGATGGAAAGGCTCTCATGGGCTTTGGTGGGCTATGGCTCAAATTATATTGCATTTTGCACATTTCTAAACAAAACGAAACAAAGTCATTTTAAACTCACTCTGAATTTGAAATTCACTTCTTTTTAAGCTGAACGGGATCATCCTTTTGAAATTTCACAGCAAAATACAATTTAAGGCAGAAGATTTGAAATGCACTTCTTTTTAAGCTGAACACAATCATTATTTTAAAATTTCATCGCAAAATACAATTAAAGGCATCAAGCAAAGAAATCTAACTGGTGTAACACTTTGATTTTCTGTATCTTCCAAAGCAGACAACTCTGAGGCCACTGGATTAGTGCAGATTCAGAGGAAGGAAAAGGAACAAATATTTCACCAGCTATAATCTCACTGAATCTCTTTCAAGTCAGCATCTGGGCTGTGCTAAGTCATTCATCCTCCACCAGGAGCACCTTTTGCATGTCTAGATGTGGGAGGCCACACTACTCCCTTGGAATATGCAGGAAGAGAGCTCAGGCTGTACAAACTGACAGGATCATGCTACAAAATGGCATGCTAGCATGGAATGGTGTGCTTTGAAATGGTTACACACAAATAGAAAATATTGTCAGCCACAAAGCAAATGCACACTGCTCAGAGAACAAATAATGATACCTGTCATTAATGGCATTGCTTTAAAACAACCCTTCAGAACAGCTGGGCTGGTTGGTTATGTCAGAGAAAGAGAAATAGTACCACAAACACATGCTTAAGTAACAAAGAAGGGGGGAAAAGTGCAAATATATACCTGTTGGTGTGAAGGTAAAAGACGGGACTGAAAAATCAAAACAAAATACAAACTGGTTATTAAGCTGAAGAGAGAAAGGGAAACATACCACATTAGTATAAATCTAGCACACAGCTGAACATAAAACAAATAAATATAACTAACCCACTAGTTCAATCACATTGATATAAAAATAAAACTGAAACTGCAATTCAGAAAGAAGATTGTCTATGCAGGCACTATTCAGGAAAAATAAAGGCAAAGAAAGCAAAAAGCTTGGTATTCTATTGTGCTCCTGTGGTTTAGCCTTTCAAATCCTTCTCAGTTTGGTATTTTAAGTTTTTTTTTCTGAAGATCCTAGCACAAACAAAACCCCCACACTGTTAATCATTCTAGAATGCAGAATGACAAATTCCTTAACAAAGCCTTATCAAGGTCCTATTGAATCTTATCTGCAGTTCACTAAGTAAATGCTCATTACACTGAACTAATAGGCACGCTTAAGTATTCAGTAAGGAAATAATAATCATAAAAAGGAACAAAGAGAACTGCTGTTTTACTGCCTCTGAATCAAGAATGGCACCAACTCTCGCTGCAATGAAGACATTAAATCTACTGCAGCAATTAATTTTTGTTTTCAGAGATGAGACTGTTATACAGAGTAATTATCTTTCTTTTTTAAATAATCGCCAAAAAAAAAAGAAAAACCTCCCTAGATGTAACACCTTTCTACCTTCCCACCCTTGGCTTTAAGAGGGAAAGGTTAACAACAGAACAATGACACTGCTTGACAATCTTCTCTCTCACAGCTACTATAAATCCTCTTTGGATCAATAGGGTCTCTAATCCAAATACAGAGCAGCAGCATCTGCTCTTCCTATTAGCACATGCTCCCCCTCCTGTTGACAAGACAGTATCGTTTTCCTCTCACTGATGGCAGAACAAGGCTAACACTGCCCTTTCTGATCCAATCACGGTGAAAGGTAACAGAAACAATCAAATATTCACTAAAAACAGCCTGGAGACAGGAGGTGATCAGCAAAGTCAGAACAGAAATAAAAGGTTCTGGCAAAGAGAACATCTTCTTAATCTTATTTTTTTAAGAACTCTGAAGTTTTTGGGAGTGCAGTGTGTCTTGTAGTTGTAATTTAAGACACACCTTATTACCCCCTTATTACCCAGCCAATTTATTTCCAAGGATATGATACTAAGAAAAATAAAAGAAAAATGGAGTATTTGGACATTTTAGGCTCCATTTGTAGCAAAGCTTTTTTTCTTGGGAATACCATAGTATTTTCTTTGAGCTAGGCCTTTTCACATAGTTATGTTTAATTTAGTTACATTCAAAATATAGAAACATAGTAAAAAGTTTTCATTAAAATAGAACTGGAATTTAAATCTGAGCTTGATTCCAAAGAGAATCAAAAATCTCAAAATAATTTGCAATCACAGGGACATGAAAAATAAACTACTGTCTCATTACTCTTCTGTGAGCTAAGTACTAAACCTAGTTTTGTTTCTTAAGGAACTGAGGAGGTTCAACTGAAAGAAATCTGATTTCTACCACATGAAAGAATGACTTAATTCTTAGAGCTTCTATTAATAAACTCTTCCGAGTGTGTAAGACTGCTAGTACAGCATGTATGTGTGGGAGTAGTGAAGTATTTTAACAGATGACAGGCCTGAAGCTAAATATAAAAATAAATAAATGCAAGACTGAAGAAAGTTTGGGCTTGCAGTGATGACTTGATGAACTGCAGAGTGGCAAACTACTTTGCAATTCATATTTCACTAAAGATAGGTTTTGTCTTTGAAGAATACTTGATCCCAGAGATACATACCCTACTTTTCTGTACACTTTCATTTAAACTCCCCCCAGATTACACAAAAGATATTTTTACAGACATTGAAAAACACAGCTGTTTTGAACAATAGCTGATGTCACTGAAGTAAGCATTTTTAAGGACAAATTGTATGCCTTTTGCTTAATCATAGGTACTGGTGAAAGCACAGTGATGTTAGTGTGATAGAGCTGTAGAAAGGCAGTGTGGCAGCATGCTATTAGTAAAACAAAACAGCACAGGCCAGTGCAGCACTACGTGGGGGCTGTCCTGCCCTAAATCCCAGCAGAACACAGCCAAGGGTGCAATTCCTTCCCAATTCCCTTGGCTGCAGCTCCACTACAGCCCCTGTGCCTGGAGCCCTCAGTGAGCACTGGTGCTTCAGTAGCACTGAGGGCATCTCGGCTCTGCAACACTCCAGACATATTTCCATGTTTCCACTCACTCATTTGCTATTTTTAGCACTGCTTCTTTTACACAGCAGTGTATTGCTGCTGTTTGAAACCATTTGTGTTTGATTTGCCTGTCCTGCCCACAACACATTCATTCTTGGGGTCTAAAGAATGTAATCTCATGACACCTTTCATACACAAAGACGAGTTCACCTTTTAAACCTTTGTCTGTCTTCTGTTTGCTAAATGTCAAATATAACCCCTCTAGTTCTTCAAAAGCAGGATCTCTCATTTTCTGATTCATTCCAAAATTTATGGTTCTCACTCTACAACTACCTATGAGGTTCTGCTTTGAGATTTAATGAACTGTAGCTCATTGAATTCAGCTTTAATGTCCAGGCTTAACCTGGAAATTATTTGATCTGGAGGAGCCAAGTTTTTATTCCAGAAGATCTTCCAGGTAGGGATTTTAGTTTTGTTTGTCAGAGAGTATACTGAAAAGCAGTGCTTTACCACTGACAACGTGATATATAAAAGTATCAATAACATGAAACAACATGGAAATGAGAAGTGCTTTAAGTTAGCCCCACTGTAAACACAGATGCAGGATGGGATAGCCCCAGAACCCAGTCCCAGCCAAGGGTCTCACTACAGCATTTATGAAAAGAGTCTTGGAAAGCAGACTGACCGCTGTGCTTTTGCAAACAGCCACACTTCCCCCAGAGGAGGAGAAATTCAAGTACCCACACCCAAAGTGTTACTGCAATGGACACCACTGTTAGCACTCCCAGCAGCAGGCAAAGCACTGGATGGGGGGACAGGAGCTGCCACCCACGCCAGATGGCTCCTCCTCAGATGATACAGTGTCAGAAAGCAAGGGCACACTGGAAACCTATCTTTAACTTTCTCATTTGTAGGAGTATCTTTATAGAAAGTTACTCCTGGTATTCAGCTCAAGACTTATGCTGCAAAGCCAGACTTAGCACGCTATGTAAATATTTTCTCTGCACAGGCTCCTGACCCACACTTCATGAAAGTACTGAAGCAAGCTGATGATTCCTTATTTGAGCCTGAGAAGAACAAGAGACTGATGACAAAATAAATAGGCAGCAAAAAGGCATTCAGCAGCCTGTCTGCCATCCTATTTCAGACTGAAACAGGTAATAGGGCACCTTTTCTGATACCAGCGTAGGTACTCGTGAGTCCATTCCTCTTCTTCCTGTGGCGATACAACCAGATGCTGAACACCATGAGGATAATCCAACAGGCTGCACCAATTCCAGCAATAAAGGCAGGCTGCTTTACTACATCAGAAATCTGCTGGGCCAAACTGACTTGATCTTCTGAAGACACAGGGTTTCCATGAGAATCTGAAACAGAGACACCCGTAACAGCCAGTTAATTTGAATGAACATGAAAATTAATTGGAATCAGCAAGAAAAAAGCTGAAATAATTGCAGTCCAGCTTCCCGAGGTAAAATCCTTAAGACTGCTCTTCAAAATCTCACTTTTACAGGTATAGACAAAAGTGGTTTGTTTTCTGTACAGGTACCTCCAGTATCAATGACTTTTGTTTGCTTACAAAACCTGCTAAAATCAGGCTAGCAGGTATACATATAGAAAGGCTCCGAAATTACAAACCTGTGGACTGCTATTTTTAATTTTTCTTTCATTTTAAAAAAGCAACATCAGCTTCAGAAAATTATTCAGAAAATCAGCAAAAAACGCACCAAGTGAGAAAAACACGAGTAGCAATGTGGATGGGTACAGTCAGCTCCCCAAAATTCCACTCCCAAAACCGACAATCAGTTACAAATTTAAACTACATTCATATGAAGTTGGTATTGAGGAAGATATTTTAATCTAGCAGTTCTTGACATATTACCTAAATATTGTATTACCCAGTCTAATGCACTTCTTGCAGTCTCTCACTTTGACCTCAATTAGAAAAAGATTGAATATTTAAAAGTATGTAGAAAAGTAAAACTACAAAATAACCAATCCTGCCCCCTTAAATATGGATAAAAAAGCTAAAGAATAACTAAAAAATTACTTATGAATTGCTAAAAACAGCCAGGGAGTTTCATTAGTAATGAACAAGCAGTGCTTTTCAAAACCAGTTTAGCCTTAAATACCCCACATCAAAATAAAGAACATGCATTTTTCCACAGAGTATTAATTATTCTTTTCATAAAGACAGCACCTTTCAGAATTGTTTTTTTCTGCTCTTTACTTTTGCAGGAACCTTCTGGGTACAGCAGTAAGAAGACCCAATTAGTGACCAAGCTTTCTGACTGAAATGAAGGGACTCAAAGCCAAAATTCTGCCTTCCTGATGCTTCACCACCACAGTGAGTGCTCACTGGAAATTTCATTACTGCACAGGGCATGGGCAAGAACTCAAAGCCTTTACTCAGAGTGGATATTGCTTTACACATTCCACAGCGTGGTCTTTGAAATACCCACTTTTACTCCTGTATAAATCCAAGAGATAGGTGCTTTATACTATTGGTAGGGACATCAAATTCAGAATGAGAGATTAGTGCTTTAAGGAAAAAGGTGCTGCTATTAATTCTATTAATATGAACTATATAAGAAATAAAAACCTATTTGCTTAAAACCAGTAGCTTTTCGCTAAGAACTAAGCAGTGAACAGAATTCTTTTATGATGACAACTTGCATTATGCCAAAATAAACTCACATAAGATATAATAAACTGCAATACAAACAAGAGATGGAATCACAACAAATTATTTCCTCTGGAAAAGGATACCTTTTTGAATGGAAAAGCTTAAATTAGTAACAGCTTCTCCCAGTGAAGGGTTCCAGATTCCAGTTTCTGCAACCTTGAAGTCAAATATCTATTTTTCTCAGAAATCACCCCCACCCTTTTCTGCTACCTTATTGGAAATTTTATTTCATTTTCCAGCTCCCTTTATCTTCTATGATCCTAAGTGCACTGCCTAGCCTAAAAGTTCACCAGGCAGACTCATTCTTTTCTTACTAATACACTCTTTGTGTCTGCTGGGTTTATGGATTTCACGCCTATTTGTGCAAGGTTAAGATGGGTTGCTTCAGATTTTATGGAGACAGCCAAGTGAAGTTCCACACAAGTGGCCAGATGGGCTTAAATGTATAAAGTACACTGTGACCAATGAATTAAAGCTGTCATCTCATCTTTTGTCTCTCTGCAGCTGAGGCCATATTAAGATATGAAAACTTGCACCGTCAGTCTCCTTTTCAAAATGAGTAATTTCTGTGGTTTTAAACAGCTACAGTCCCTTGTACAACTTAATGGAATAGAATAAAACATTTATGGAGAGCCTCTGGTCCTGAATAAATAAGAGTGATATATATTTTTTCATCTCATTCTTAAAATAGGTATTTTAAAACAATAAATCCAGGAGAAAAAAATAATCACAAGCTCAAAAACCATAGAAGAATGTTTTCTAAACATGTCAACAATTCAGCCATACAGAAACACAGCACTTTTATACACAGTCTGCATTGCTCAGTCAAGGTGTGTCTGAATATTATAAAATCCTGAAGAATATTGGACTGTTTATTACCCTAATTTTAAATAAGGATTAATTTCATGCTATTATTTTACTTGCAACTGTAAGAACAGCATAATAATGAACTTTCTTTTAGGCAATTAGGCAATTAGGCATCTGGCACATTGAATATGGGTGGACTGTTAGAACCACTACATAAGCTGGTATATACCTTTGCATATGGGAAAGAGAAAATGCATCTATGTTCACATACAGTCAAATAAACAGCATAAGAGGAGATGGAAGGGCTTTCAAGAGGTCACATTTGACTACATCCTACTCCTCTTGTAATTCAAAATTAGCAAAATATAAAGAGAATGAAATTTAGTGACCTCCTCACCACTAAAAGAACATTATCTTGGAAGCCTTTCTTTGAGAAGGGCATCTTCCCTCTGTTTAACAGCCCTGTGAGATCCTGAATGATCAGTCTTGGAAATAACTCTTGAACTAAAAAAAAAAGCCCTAGTTTTTCTTAATCCAAGGAAATTTCTGGAACTTTGTCTGATATATAAATGGTTCATAATGAACATTCCTGTTCCTGCTTGCAGTCTTCAGGGAGTTGTGCCAAAACAATAAGGGAACATAAACATTCTATGGCAAAGTGCATCCCACTGCCAGAGCAGCAGCCCCAGCATTTAATGGACTTGGAAATGCCTCAGAGTTGTTGGAGCAGGCTGCTCCCACAGCTCCCTGAAACCAGCATATTATCACAGTGACTCATCCCTTCTTCTAGCCCAAGATAAGAGCTTGCTTTTTAATCACAGATAATGCTGCTGTGGCTATTGCTCACAAGCTGCTTGATCTGAATGTCTTGAAGCTCCAAGTTTCAAACTTCAATGGAAACTAGTTAGAATTTACATGGAGAAGAATTGGAACCTCTCATCTTCTAGTGATAAATACTCATATAAATAATAATAATGTGAAAATTAAGATTTAAGGTGCTAAATGATAAATAAAAGCTTAATATCCATGACTGGAATGCCAGAGATTCAAAAAAGACAGGAAATTCCAGATTCAAAGTTGTGCAAGTAACTTAACTTTGCCTTGTGCACGTATAACCTATGGAATGGTATTTTTCCATATGCATGTCTGATTCAGTATAGAAAGTGTATAAACACTGAGTAGGAATATATAAATGGTGATGACATTGTTAATTCTGGCAATTAAAAACTTGCAAAACACCTGAAACCTGTAACATATTGTTTGAGTGTTATCTCAAATGCATGTTCATGATGCAATATGAAAATTATTTGATGAAATATTACCAAGGTAAGAATATGCTATTTTGTCCCCTTTCTTGATTTATGGTTCCCAGACTGATAAAATATCAATTGTACACTTCAGTCTTATAACATACAGCCTGAGGTGACAGCACCAACCTGATATGAAAGAGTTTGCTGTGAGGGGTATAATTACTTTCTTAAGTTGTTTGCAGGCCACAAACAAAAATATCAACAAAAAGCCCCTCACAACTATCACACTCAAAGTACCTTAAGGGCTGACAGAATAATAACCTGAAGGCATGCTAGCTAGTTCACAAATCACATCTCCTAAATGTAGCAGTTAGAATAACAAAGATTCAATAAGACTTTCTTGTGTTTTGTACACTTGAAACATTCTCTGTTTGAATAATGCATTCAGTATTTACAGTAATTGTGCAGACATCTCTTAATAAATAACTGCATACCATATATTCACACAAATTACATGTTTAAGAGTAACATTGACTGCAGTTGTGAGGCTTCTCAGAGCTGGTACCAGAAACAAATACATCACATTTTCCAATGTTACCCCTTACCTGTCAACAAGCATAGGTAATGCTGCCAAGCTACCACAGGCAGTATCCCATCACTCTACAAAAGCCAGGCTAGAGATCAGCAAAACATTTTTTTGCTAATTCTCATCTTTCTGTACAGAGCATTTTTGTAAACAATGTCTTTAAGTTACATGTTGTGAAAAGGAAATAAAAGGTTCTGTTGAAATTCTGTGATTTTGTTTCTCCACAGCATATTGTTACAGGCATTATATAGTGAGCTGTGGCTAGGTCTCATGGATTCTTTTTTTTCCTTAACACCAAAACTTTTGCAGTCTTTCTTTATGTAAAATATCTTTTCTTTTTAAAAAAAATAAACAAACATTCTTTTAAGTCCTTGGAATTCCACAGAAAGCACTAAAAGCTCATTCAAAAGCCAAGACGCAAATTCAGAAGCTTCATGCAAGGTGTTTTAAGAAGGAAATAAAAGGTTCCATTGAAAATCTGTGATTTTGTTTCTCCACAGCACATTGTTACAGGCATAATATAGTGAGCTGTGGCTAGGTCTCATGGATTCTTTTTTTTTTCCTTAACACCAAAACTTTTGCAGTCTTTCTTTATGTAAAATATCTTTTCTTTTTAAAAAAAATAAACAAACATTCTTTTAAGTCCTTGGAATTCCACAGAAAGCACTAAAAGCTCATTCAAAAGCCAAGACGCAAATTCAGAAGCTTCATGCAAGGTGTTTTAAGAAGGAAATAAAAGGTTCCATTGAAATTCTGTGATTTTGTTTCTCCACAGCACATTGCTACAGGCATAATATAGTGAGCTGTGGCTAGGTCTCATGGATTCTTTTTTTTCCTTAACACCAAAACTTTTGCAGTCTTTTTTTATGTAAAATATCTTTCCTTTTAAAACAAACAAAAAACCAAACAAATATTTGTTTTCAGTCCTTGGAATTCCACAGAAAGCAGTAAAAGAGGAGCCAAGAGGAAAATTAAAAAGCCAAGAGGAAAGGTCATTCAAAAGCCAAGAGGAAAATTCATTCAAAGCCAAGAGGAAAACTCAGAAGCTTCATGCAGGGTGTTTTAAGGAGACACATAATATTTCATTGGATCTCACGATTTTATGAATAACAAGCAAGTTATTTCGTTGCCTTGTCCCTGGTGGCACGGAAGTCTGGGGTACCACAGCTCAGTGAGCTGCTTCATGCCAGCAGGGACGTGGAAAATGAAAGAGCCTGGAGATTACAATTTGTACCTGTCTCTGTAACAGGTTAAGTGTGTGCACAAGGTCATTTATCACAGCTCAGCTGGTGCGTGGGACCGCGCTGCCCGCCCCAGCTCCCGGGGAATCCAGCTCCTCCTGTCCTCCCCTCTCCTCCTGGAAGGCTGCCCTGGAAAGGTGACACTTCCTCCTGTCACACACCCCGCTGAGGCTCTGCCCAGACGTGCCCCTGAGTCACCAACCCGGGAGCATCCCACACAGGCTCAAAGAGGAGACCCAGCCATGGCCCGCTCTCATGTTTTTGTATTGTAAGGAGACAGATTTTAATGAGAAGTTCTTATTTAATGAGAACTTCTTATTTAAAAAGTGAACCTCAGAATCACACTATAGATTCTGTTTTCACACATGGAATTCCTATTTAGATATATCTTTTTCTAATGAAGAATTGCATTAATCCAGGTATCAGGAAAGGAACAGTTGGGAGCAGGGCAGAAATATAGTAACTGGAAAGCTGTCACACAGTTCTTAGAGCACATACATACAGCATGTCAGGACTGTTTCAAACCTTCTACAAAGAGCATCTTAGTCCTCTTTCCTCCCCCTCCCTGGCCTCCCTTCCCTCTCTCTGTAAGAGTGTAATTTATTGCTGGTGAAAAGTGCCAGCTGATGACATCAACAAATTAATTTTCTTTCTTCAGAAAGCTACCCAAAAATCTCCACTCCACCCCCACGCTGGGAGCACTTCTAAGAACTAGAAATCCAATTCCTTGAGGGGGCTGGAGGAGAACTTGCATCACAGGGCAGAGTTGAATAATCTGCAGCCATTCTTCTACCTGGATGATTTAGGTTGATCTGTGCTATCAAAGAGAGCTAACACTTGAATTTATGCACTAATTTCCAGCAGCCTCCTGCAGCTGCTGAAAGGGTTGTGGCACCATCTAGATATTTCATTGTTCTGTTTCTTGTGGCATGGATCTCCACAAGAGTCCTGTCTCCACATCTTTGCCATGTAACAACCAAATTATAGGATTTAATTAGAGGCAAGCAGTGAAAGCAAACTCCAGCCATGGGGAAATATGTGCTTCTACCAGACTTGCACACCTGAACACCTTTCAAGGTGTGAGATCACTTCTTGTTTTCTAATATAGTAACAATAAAGACCAGGAACCCAGAAGTGGGCACAAACCTTACCCTGACAGTCTGATTTGTTTCTTTTTCCACTCCACAAACCTCAAAGTGATTAAGTTCCATTTTAAAATTCACCTTCATTTAGAATTTGCTTATCAGACAAAAGGGAAAAAAAACAAGTGGTTATGGAGTCCTTGGCTTTGAAGATTTGAGGTTATCCTCCTAAACCTCACTAATGCAGAATTTTCAAAGCCTAAGCCATATAGAATAAGCTTGATTTTGACTGGCTGTAGAAAGCTGTGAATGGTAGGTGGCTGTAGAGAGGAACAATCAAAAAAATAACTACATGGCTTTCCTGTAATAATTCCATATTAATGGAATATCATACAAGCTGTGTGCACCTTTATTGTAAAATCTCCATCAATGTAATTGGGAATCATATACCTGTCTAATTTAAGTAAGCTAAAGATGGCCCTTCTTTTAATACCGAAGGAAATGTACAAGTAATTTTCCATATTAGTTGCTCTGTCTTGTTTTCACATGCTTTTAATTATAGATTTTTAAATGCAACAAGTGAAATAAGAAGGTAGATCTACTAATGATACAGAGACAGAGAGGACATAAAGTCCAAAGCAACATGCTGAGCTTGCTTTCATAATTACACACTGTAATGATAAGGTATTTTGCTCCGGGCATACTAAAAAGCAGCATATGACTATACTTAAAGCTACTTTAAATAATCTTCAGCTAACCAATAGCAAAGATGCATTTTTCCCAGCAACAACCAGGAGCAATGTCCCTGGTCAACATTTATGACAGCAATGTTTGGTGTAAATGAGATTAGAAGGTCAAATTTATACATAATTTGTGTACATCTTTTTTCCTGTACTCAGGTTATTTACCAGCTTCCACACATAGTTTATATTTATTGTGACTCATTTTAGGATGCTTGTTTTTTTGCTTCAATAATGATAAAATGTGGTCAAGACAAATTACATCCCTAAACTGGTCTAACACCTAGTGATTCATGCTCCCCTACAAGTTTTTAAGGGTGAAAATTCACTTTGAAAAGTCAACAACTAAAAAGCACTGCTGAGCTGCGAGATTTAAAAACACCCCTGTGTTGTTTCAATCCCACCTTTAGAATGCAGTTCTAAGGCAAGTTTAAAACCAGAAATGCCAAACCCTGCTATTCCTGAGATCAAGTAACACTATCCATTTCACTTGCCTCCAAAGCATTTCTGGTGCCATAAAAGACGAAAGCAAACAAACAGAAACCACCCACACCAAGAGGCAGGATTACCAGGAAGCTTACCTAGCTGGATAAACTGGGGATCACTTTTCACCCCGGGTCCTGCCCCGGTGCTGGCAGCCACCTCCACGCTGTAGCGGATGCCGGGCACGAGGGAGGGGATGACCACGGAGAAGGTGGTGCCGTCCACGGTCTTGTTGATGTGGTAGCGGCTCTCATTGCCGAGGCACCAAACCTGCAGGGAGCAAAGGCACAGGCAAGCGCTCAGAATTCAGCTCTGAAGGGGAGGAAGGAGGGAGGTTGATGCATTCTTTCCTTCTGGGTGAAGAAATTTACACTTAGTCGCTGTTCTATCATCTGTAGTTGTGGATTGCTGTCCTAGGCCCTCCATGAATACTGAAAACCCATTTCTTGTTCCAATGAGCTGCTCCAGCTACCACCATTATGTGGCCACATTTCACTGAGAAAAGCAAGGCACAACTTCTCAAAGATATTTTCTGAGAATCACAGTGAGGAACCTCAGAGAAAGAAAACAATTCTTATCTCATTTGCTGCATCTGTGTTTGTGCCAAAGTAGAATGCAACGTGGAGATTGCTTACCCAAAGTGATGGGGTTTTGTTTCCTTGGCCTATCAGACCAAGAGCATCTTCAGACTGCTGGTCAGCAAGCAGTCACAAAATTTTGTTCAGTGGAGTTGAGTGCTTGTGCAATTTCAGTTTAGATGTAGTGTAATATAGTATAGAACAATACAATAAAGTAATTAATTAACCTTCTATTCTAATATCATAAAATCAAATGTGTCTTTTCCTCCCTTCGTCAAGGGGTTGCTGCTTTTACCATACCATTATTTGATGAGTTTGTCACAATTCATTAGAGCTCAACAAGTGCTAATGAAGCTACAAGCACGGAAGAAATGAGGGAAGCCCCACAGCCAAGAACTGTTCACATAAACAAGAAAGTCAGAGCATTCAGTTAAATGAATTTGCAATTCTCTTCTTCAGGAATTTGTGTCACTCAAGTGCACAAGCAAGTCTTTCATCACATGACATCTTAAGAGAACTGATATCATGCTGGAATCCAAAGGATTTTGGTTTTTCTTTTATTTTTTTTTACATGGCAGCAAGGGGCAAATATTGAGCGATATGCTGTCTTCTAATTGAGACAACAGCATGATATCAGATTTCATTTTTTGGTTGAGACCAAGATACAGGTCTAGTGACTTCAAATCACAGCTTCATATATTACATCAGTGACAATAAATGGCAAGGAGAAACAAAATGATGAGATATCTTTATCTCTTTAGGCCTGAACTACTGATGTGGCAAATGCTTTTAGAAGGATGGCTGAACTCCCAACTGCTATTCAAGGTGAAGTAGCAGCTAATCTACATCTGCTAAAAAAAGTCATGAAGCTGTGTCTATTTCCTTTTTGTGCCTTTTCCACAAATGTACTGCTCTACAAAGAACATTTATTCAGAAAGTTAAATTAGTTAAACTCAATACTTTATCTGTAAAGAAGCAAACCTGGCTGAGAACAGCAGCACATCAGAACCTGGGCCGATTGTTCACGGGAGGGAAGATTTTGCTTTCAACATATGGAGCTCCTAAAAGATTTAGTACCCAGATAGCTGCTTTAAATCCCTGGTGCAATCCTGCTGCTGAGGAGACTGCCAGGTGAGGGGGATAGACTTTCACATCTAGAACAATTGCTACAGCGCCTCCTGAACAGCACTTTCTGCCTGGACACTGGAAATTTTATCTCACCTTCAGGACATTATAAAGACGCTTTTTCCTCCTCTGGGTGCCATGGACTGCAACAAGGCTAGTGGGACACTGTGAGGATGTGAAATGCATTTTAAGTTCCTTTGAAATCGAATCCCAGCACAGGATATGTGTAAGTGCTGCTGCAGAGCAGGTTAGAGCACATGAAGAGAATCTCCTTTTCATGTTCTGGCACTACATAGAGACTGTTTCAATCAGTGCTAGGGGTAAAACTATTACTAATACTACTAATATATTGCTAATATAAGAGCACAAAAATTCTCTTATATAAATAAGAACTTAAGTGAGGAACAAAAGGCTCAAATCTATATTTGGACTTAAGTCAATTTCACAGAAATTATTACTGCTACCTTGTAAAATGGTGCATGTGCAAACAACGAAACATTTATTTCATTATGTACTTGCAGTCATGAACTACTAATTCAGAAAAAAAAAGCTTTTGTTAGTAGGGGCTCAAGTACATGGAGAAGTGCATGAAACAAGAATGTCAGGTCAAACATCAAGTTGTTCAGTACTTGCCACCCTACTTTTGACTGTATACATAAACAGGCAAGTGAAAATAAACTTTTAAAATGTTATAAAAGAAGAATGAATTCACATTATAACAGACGCATAAGGGAAGAGAAAATTAGTAGAACAAGAGAATTTCTAACTTTGTGTTAGGGAAGGAGAAAATTACTTATGCTGTGAATTTGAATTTCTGGGGTTTTGTGTATGCTACTGACAATTCTTCAATTAAGATAGTATCCTTCTTCCTATTTATTTTATCCTTTAATTAAAGTAGGTACACTCTTGCCTTTGATCTGAGCTGCTGAGAAAATAATGAACTGCCCCACATATGCATACTTTTTTTTTTATTTTCTGAGAGAAAAGAGTAGATAGAAAAACAAAAGGGGAAGAGAAAAGAGAAAATTTCACAAGTCCTCCATTTGATTTTTTTTCTTATTATTAGTTCTTAATCTAAAATCATCAGTTCTGCATTTCAGTAGTTTTTTTTGGCAAAACCAGTAATTACATATAGAAACTTCAGTAGGAATGGCATATATATTTTCACAGATTTTTTTTATGTCATTTTTCTGTCCATGGTGAAAAGCACAAAGGAAAACAATGGCATCAATGCACAAATACAGATGCAAAACGTGCCACTGTGCCATCTACTGCTAAAAAAAGCACTACAGTGTGCTTGCTCCAGCACCTGGGAACCTGTCACCTCAAAATCCTGGGATTTGGGAGGTGGGGTATGGATTATATCCACTCAGAAATGTGAATTACTGACTTTTATCATTGTGTCATTGCAACCTTAACATGCCTCTGATGCAGGTTCTTCTTGTAAATAATTCTCAAGGTCTGGCTTTAAATAAAATAACTTCACCAAGTATTTTTTCCAATTACATTGTATTATATATATGAAACTAAGTCATAAGCAGATTTTATTTTACCAGTTGACCAGGTTCTGAACAGGGTTTTATTATTCTAAATTGACCATGAAGCTTATAAATCTCTTCCCTTTCCCACTTTTACTAAGAAGAAAAGAAAATCAGAATGAGTTTTGATGGCTAGGAATATAGGTTTATAGCACTGTGTTTAAACCTAGAAAATAGCCAAGACATTCCCATTTAAAGATTTTCTCAATAATGTGCATTTGCAGGGGGCTAAAACCAAAGCTCCTGCCCTTCCATGGTTATAAAGCTTACTTGATATCTACATTTAAAGCATCTCTAGCTTGCTTAGGAAAAACAAACTTCATTTACTTTGCTATGTAAATTACCACCAAAAAAATTTGAAATGCAAATACAGTCTGTGTTCATAAATGAATGACAAACAATAAATATTTTTAATGTGCTTTCAATTTGTTAAAAATTAAATAACATAATGAGAACTGTGTTTGAAAGAAAAGAAAAAATTTCTGTGCAGGAATGGATTTATTATCATAAAGCACATTCTTTCCTGGAAAGTTTTCCATTTGTTTTAACTACCCAGTTACGCATAATTTACTCAGATCTTAACACTGTTAATTATTATCCCTGAGCTTCTCAACTCATTAAGCCTGTTTGTATTTACTACCTTGGCCAGTGTCTTAGAGTCACAAATTGGCTCTCAAACAGGTATGATTCCCTCTCTCCTTGTGTGTGCTCTTCCCAAGTCATAAGGCAAGGCAGGAGCTGTTCTAATTAAGAGTGTTGACCCTTTGCTTTGATTTATGGAGGCTGCTTTAATTGCCTGACACCACCTAGGCAGAATCCCTAAAAAGATGGAGTTTGATTCAAAGCAGTGACTTTCTCTCCCATTTTCTCGTTGTAACCAGAAGATGGAGCCAAGCACCCACGAACAGCCCTTCCCTCTCTACCTGGCCAGGCTCCCTCTGCCAGGGGACCCAGCCGTGCCAGCTGTACCTTGTATTCCTGCACCATCCCGTTCTGGTTGTCCTCAGGGGGTGGCTGCCAGGTGACCACGATTGCTGTCCCGTTCCCATCGTTCTTGGTTACTGAAACACTCTGAGGTGGGGCGCTGGGAGCTGTTTGTTTGGAAAGAAGAACTGAATGGTTATGTCTGTCACACCCACAGTGAGTATGTTCAACTGGAAGATGATTTCTAGGCTCTACAAATGCAATCTTTCTTCCCCACCCTTCACTGAGGGCAGTTTGTGCCCAGAAGATGAAGTGATATAGTGTTGACAATATAGAAGGAAAATGTATGACCCAACAACCAGGCTCTGAGTTCTGCTGTAGTTTTGCTGCACATGCCAGGAAAAGTAACACTCCAAATTGTACTCTCAGAGTACATCCCTTACCTGCATGTCACAATTCTGGGCACTGAGTTCCTCACTGCTCTCAAATCAGCTCACCCAGAATCAACAGTTTTAAAAAATAATGAAAAATAATCCTATACAGTCCCCAGTCTAAATCTCAGTTCCTCTAGCATATAAAAAATAATGAGTAATACAAAATTTACTAAAATCTGGACATAATGTGTTAGTATTAACATATTTATAATAACAATTTATGTTTTGAATTTGAAATAACCCTTCTAAAATGTGGATGCTCAGCTGATGCTTAGAATGAATGCAGCTATGCACACCTTTTGAGCTACGTGCAGAAATAAACTGGAGCTACATAGCATTTCTAATGGGGGAGGAAGATAGAAAGGGAAAGGTTGCACATCCTAGCAGAAGCACCAAAATCCCTATTTCAGAGGCACTGGCCACCTTGCATACTTATCATGCCTGTGCAGCAACAAAAGGAAAAGCTTTATGAACCTTGTCTTTTTAGCACATGTATGAGATGGAAATACATAATTTAGTCCACTCTATCTGTTGCCCTCATTCATCTTTCTATTTTGTCTCACTGATTGATCCACATATAAAAGCCTTCTAAAAACCATGGTTTTCATTCCCCCAGCTACACTGCTTTGATGATTTCTGTGGTGTCTGCTATCTACTCAAGATAGTGATTAGCAAGTGCTTGAATCTGACAGAAGTCACTTGTGACCAGCCCATGAACTCAGCGGGGAGGAGTGCGCACACTGCAGGGAAGATAAAAAAGCATTTCTCATTGTGTGTCGGAGGGGATTTTTGCACATCCCTCTCTCTCTGTCTCTCATGCCTGGCTCAGAATATTTACTTCTGTGTCACCAAACAATTCACATAATGATCAGTCTCCTCTGCCACAGATTGCTGCTCTCAAACAGCATGCACTTCAAACAAGATCAAATAATGAACATATCAGAGGAAAGTCGGCCAGGCTGCTACTTCAAAAAGGAAAGATGAAGACAGTCTAGCTCCTACTTGCCTTCTTCCAGGGTCTTTGCAAATTTCACTTCACTATCTGCTCCCTGAAACTCATTAAAGAAAGGGCGGGCCTTGATTTCATAGTTTACGCCTTTCTTCAGCTCAGGAATGACAACACTGTTTTTGGTGGGAGTCCTCACTTCAAAGATCAGCCACTCTGATTCTCCATAAGATGCTGGTGTAGGCCGGTACAGAATTTTATATCCTTGGATATACTGGGATTGCTGGTCCACCTGGCAAGAGAGCAGAACACAGAACACATCCATAAATGGGCAGGAACCAGAGGTGATGCCCATGACTCCGTGCACGGCCCCTGGACTATCCCTCATGAAAACATCACTGCCAAAGCAGATAAAGGCTCCTTGCATTACAGCAAATTGCAGGCCTGACTCACAAGTGCATTAATCCCTTTGATGCTGGTAGAACTCTGCTGGTTTGCCTGGATTTAGGCAGGCATTAGAGGGGGATAATGAAGTTGTATAATATGCCCCAGCTCCATGAAATGAACAGTCTCTGCATCCATGGAGCAAAAGTGCTTGGCACAGGTCAGACTGCTGCCCAACTGAATCTGGAGAGCAGAGCTGGACACATGAGGAAAAGGAGATCTACATGGCTCAGGGTGATGAATATGGAGACCAAAGAGAGAGTTGACAAAGAGAGTCAACTCTCCTGAGGTGTGGAAACTTCCCTAAATGTGTGAAATGAGCACTGCTTCCTGCCTGCTCCTTTGTGGGGAAAGCAAATTGAGCGGGTGGCAGCTGGCACTGTGGCTGGGCTCTGTCAGAGGGCAGAGCTCTCCAAAGAGTTCCCCCATGTCCACCCACACAGGGGGAGGCTCTCTGCTAGAAGGAAAGGGCCAGGTTGCAAGAGGGAACATAAAACTCAGTATGGTAACATGGATGAGACTTGGAAAAGCAAATCAAGCTGATGCTTAGTGGTCCTGAGTGCTTTTCAAACTAAGGCAATTTCACACTAAATGTATGGAGAAAGAGATCTGAGTGTAATCAAGGGCAGGTCCAATATGTTTGACTATAGCTGAAACAGAAAGCTACCTTATACAGCTGATCTTTTGTGGAACACTCACTATCTTTTTAACTGCTGGTTTCAATTTCTGATGAATAAGGAAGTCTAATAACAAGCACAATAAAATTTTTAAAGTGCATCAGAATTTCCTGTTTTCAAAAATCTCGTACAATGATATATAATAAAACTGTGTGCTTGCAATTTCAATCCAAAGAGCAACACATTTCATTTTTAATAATCCCATAAAGAATGCATGTGTTAGCTGAAACTGAGGTAATGCTTATTTTTGAAATTGCAGAGAAGCCACAGGCCACCCAAGAGACTGACAAAAGCTGCCTGTCTGGAAAAGGTTGTTCTGTAAGTAAAGGTCAAACAGAATTTGCTAGGAACCTCAAAGATGCATTAGTTTAGAACAGGAGATTGCCTGCTGCAGGTGGCCATACTGCAGGTGAGAGTGTAATTACTGTGCAGCACAGCAGATATTACTGCAGCATCAAGGAGATCTGGGTGTAGGTCAGGACTCCTTTGGGCCACAGCTTTTCTACAAAGTCAAAATGCCTTTTGTTCCTGTAAAAAATATTCTGCTATGGCATGGCCAGCCTGTGCTGTCCCACACTACCCCTGCCAATATATTGGAATGTTCAGATAGAAGTCCCACAAAGACCTCAAGGCTCACTCCTTATGGTTTTATTTTTGTACATGGTATAATTATATCCCCAACTTTTTCTTAATTCTGCATTCCATTTTCAAACTGATCGTTGAGTTACATTCCCGACTCTCTCAGTTCCTCTGCTATGACCTCCACGTGCCCAACCTTCTTCTTTCCTGCTGCCAGGGCAACAACAATAAGATATTGCCTTTTTTACCTCTTCTCCCTGCACCAGGTGTACTCAGAGCACCACAGGAAAGGAGAGGTTCAGAACAGGCTGTCTGATTTGGGTGTGTTTGGCAGTGTGTCTGTAGCAAGGAGTGAACACTTTCAAACAGAATGATGCAGTGTGTCTGACAGAGAGGGAATTGCCCATGTTCTCTCATTAAGGGACTGATCCATGTCCTGCTGAAAGCAGTGGGAAGGCTTTAAATTATGTGACTGAGGAGGTCCTTTAGCTTCCAGAGGAGGACTCTGAAACCCTCACCCCATTGTAAACAGCACTCTCTATGCAGACAAAGATGGAGAAAACGGGTAAAATTTAATGAAAAAGCAGAGCACAAGTAGCACTTATCCCAGGAAAAAACATTTGCAAGCACACAAAACTACTCAGCTTCTAAAAGTGTGGCCCCACTGCAGTGGAAGCAGGACATCTCAGCAGCACCAGCAGGGTACAGGTTTGTACTCACAGTCCAATGAACTTCGATTGAGGAGGAAGAAAGGATGGTGGGGTTGTGCAGGTGCAGCACCACGTCACCCAGCTCTCTCTGGACCTGCTTGTGATCCACACCTTGACTTGTTGGTGGAACATCTGCAATAATTTAAGATTCCATTCTCACAAGTACACATGATTGTTGAAATAAATACACGCAAATACAAATGAGTATGTCAGAAAGTTTATGATGCTATCACAATTGAAGTTGAACCTAAGTACTTCCTAAACATGTAAGACAAAACTGCATGAAGCATTTTCTTGAGCAAATCACCAGCATTTAGGTAGTACCAACTCAAGACACTGCACTTTCTTTGACAGTGAGGGTAATGCTGCACAAAAAGACACACCACACTCAAGGACAGCTTTGGTAAATGGCTACAGCAGCAACTCTTTATTCTTTCCTGCTGGGAAAACATTCTATTGCCCACTGCCAATTCCAAGAGACCAGGAAACCTATAAAGAACAGCAAAAGCAGAAGCTGTATCTTTAGATAAATTCATGACAACTTGCTTGGTGTCACTGCAAAATAATGTTAACAACCAGAGAAAAGATAAATTAGTCATGTGGCTGCAGCTTCTCTAATGGCAAGAGACTTCTGTAAACAGAAGGCAGAGCCCAGTTGAGAGCTGTCTGGATTGTCTGATATTTGGTCTATCCTATAGCTGGAAGGATTATTCATATGCATGAAGGACAAATTCCTCTCAAAACACGCAATAGTATGACAAAGCCACATATTTTTTGCATATTGAGCCCTTGGAAAGCACATTTAACTGAAATGGAATGACTGTCAGATGTGTAAAATTTACAGGGTAATCACATAGAGGGTATCTAAAATATGTACTATGGAAAGTAGAATAATAGCTTCTGTTCTAGGTTCACATTTCACTCCTTGATCACCTCATTTTAAACAAATACAATGCTGACTATGGCTAAAATTCTATGAAGTTCATGAAAAGTATTTGCAGTGATTACTACTGAAGTTAATATATAGTCAGTTAGTGACAAATCTGGATTCTTAGCAAGCAACATTGGTAATAATGAATATTACCAATATTCATTATTCATTATTGTTCTTGAATAAAAGAACAAAACCTCTTCCACTGAGTCACTGCTATATCCCCATGTAGTATGTTCTGCAAACACTCCATTATCACACTATTTCCCTCCTCCCAATGTTTGAAAGCATTAAAGATAAAAGCTTCTGTTTGGGAGCATTGCCTAAATATCACCCTGCTCAGAATGTAACAGGAAAGCCAGTGGAATAATTAGTTCTAGCTTTGCTAGTCAGAAGAGATGAGTCATCTACAATATGGCTCAAACTATTCACAGGCTCAGCCATGTGCACATCTGGGCTATAAAATGTGTGTGCTCTCTTGTTTCAGCTCCAAGCTTCCAAGACAGGGACTGTCAGTGAAAACACCCAGGAATGAGGTTGTTAATGTCTGTGAAGTGTGAAGATGAAGGTACTAGGAAGGCAGTGCTGAAGGGATGAAGGCACTGAAGGCAGTAACCTACCTTCATCTTGATTTGTGGAATGAACAAGCAGTTAGGACCAGATTTACCACCCTCATGACAAAAGCAAACTGGAAATTTCTGAACTTTCATAGCTAGACAACAACTTAATCAAAAACGAAATTATATTGAAAGAAGAGCAGTACTCCTCTAAAGGACTTGACACTCAACACATTTGACACATTTCTTAAAATTGCAGAAAATTTTATGTGTTAGTTGTTATTTTCACTGAGTTATTGTTCAGCTCTTAGGTTTTCAGCTCTACTAGGTACCCAGAGAACAGTGCAGCTTTTCCAAGCCATTATAAACCATTCAGCTGAGTGAACAGAACATTTGCTGTTTCTCAGAATCAGGTCAGTAATCAGTTAGTTTGGGACAGACACAATACTCCTCATCTCCAGAAATGAAACCACACTACATGAAAAACAGGCTCGTGCAGCTCTATTCCCAGAAATCAGGAATCACTGAAAGGTCATTAAATTTCTCCTTGGTAACAGACTTGGGAACCTGTTCAACCCTGATTTTCCATGGGGCTGTGACTCTGCTGTCCATACATATCCACTGAAATTGTCAGCCATCAGGAGAAATGCATAATGCCAAAAGGCAGCAATGTGAAACTGGTCACCCCCCAGGGGACATGAGAAAGACTTGCTTTCAGACCAACTACAGAAAACATGAGAAGTCACCAAAGAAAAACCCTTTGTTTCCTTTAGAGAACTTCCTTTCAAAAACTAACATGTACTTACTTACACAAACAAAGAAACAAACATACAACACAGACACTCTCAATAAGCCAGTGGGTCAATTTCTCCAGTAAGTAGGAAGATCAGAAAAACAAACAAAAAAAATACAATCTCTATCACTTTTTCTTTGAAAAAGAGTGTGTCTATTTTCCCACTTCTTAAGAATCTAAGCTTTTCTACTGGAAAAATGCAGGCTTCAGAGCTGCAATGCATTGTTCCTTGTACATCACCCTAAGTGTCATTTATTGGCTACAGTGAATGCAAAGATAGTTTTAACTTTACATAGCTGGACTCAGTCCATAGCTGGAGTTCAGTCACAGCTGGAGTCAGTGGGTGACTCCTTCATTCACTTCTACCCAGACTTTTCTTCCACTTGGCTATCTGTAAGCACTGCTTTCTACCCTATTTTACTTCCAACAGTTGTACAATGGAAACACTTGTAACATACTGCCAAAACATCTTTACTGGTTCATGATGCCAAATTCCTTCAAATTTTCAACTTTTCTCTTTCCTATTGCAGCAGAAAGCAACTCAGATTACATGCTGTTTCTCTCCCTGTCTCAGTCTTAAGCCTTATTTGATTCACTGGACATAGTAATAACATTTCCATGGAATTTGAGGATTTGTATGGGAACTCAAAAACACAGGGATTACTAGCAAGAGCTATTCTGCAAGTTGTAACTACCTTTGGATGAGAGACACCAGGGTTCCCTTAGGCAATGCACCATGCTGTCAGAGTCTGTGTTACAGAGAAATGCAAGTTTAAGCACTGTATTTTACTGTGGTATATATTATGGCCATGATAGGTAGACAGTCCAAAGCTACCATTATTCCTGCATCTGGTATTGCTTAGGCAACTTGTGACAGCTGCTGTGGACACCCAAAATGTTCAATATCAAAAACTTACCTTGAGTTTTCACTGGATCAGATATTTGGCTCGGGTCGCTCAGCCCATATGCATTAGCTGCTCTCACAAGGAAGAGATAAATTGCATTAGGTTTTAGCCCTTTAACTGCAAAACTCTCAGTTTTCACATTTTCAGCTACAGTTTGCCAGCTGCTCCCTGATGCATGGCTAAGGATAAAACACACAACAGCAGGTTAGCACGTGGTTCTTTAGCAACACATTATATGTAAAGATAGAGACAGCAATATCACACGAGACTCACACACCTGAAGGCCTCAATTATGTAAGAGGTTGGTGTTGCACCTGAATTCAAATTTGGTTGCCATGACAATGTTACTGTGTTTCTGCTGACATCTGTAACCTCAGGCTTTGATGGAGCACTAGGAATCAAGTTTGGGTCAGTGGGTCTTGGTGGCTGCACTGGGACTCCGAACTCTGACAAAAGGAGAGAGAAACGCTGAGTATGGACATGAAACACCTGTAAGCTAAATGCTGCTCACATCTGCACTGGCAATTAATGACAGAGTCAGATAGCTTCTACATTTCAATTCCTGCTTTTCCTTCATGTATTTTCTCCTGATGGAGTTACCTTGGACCTCTATGAAGGCGCTCCACGTGGCTTCGCCACTCGGGGTTGAGGCAATGCAGGTGTAGCGGCCGGTGTCGCCCAGCTGAATGGGAGAGGAGAAGAATAAATATTTGAAACAATCAGGCACTCAGTGGGCTAGAAAAGCAATTACAGCTCTCCACGTTCCCCCATGAATATGGATAAAGGTATTAGCCTGCAAAAACTTTGCAGCAGAAACTCCTTCCATGAGGAGCTACAATTTCGACAAAGCAAAAATGGGTGTTTATTTCTGAGCAGTCACAAAAGAATCAGAAATGCAGATTCTAATTTAATGTTAACTATTCTGTAATGAGCAAACTGAAGGCTGTTTCCTGTAGCATTTATTCCTTACTCTGCAGAGGTCCTAACAACTAAATTGAGAAGGAACTTGGATGACAAGACCCCATACAACTGTCAGCCTTGTACATCAATAATGCCCAGGGATTCATCAGGACTGGAGCACTGGAGAACATGTCATCCTTAAAGCAAAGCTTAAATATTGTACAGGGTACATATGAGGCTCCCTCTGTTAGTATAAATTTCACTCTACAGCAGACCCAAAAAAGAATCTCCATATGCTATCCTCATCCAGCTCTCTGTGTTGGATTATTTGTCCATATGTGACTTAATCACATTTCAAAAGTGTTTCTTTTTTTTTTCCCCAAAAAAGAAATGTTATCCTCCTCAGGTCCCAGCCTCAGCAGATGAACTGAACGGAAGTGATCAAAAATCAGAGATTCAAGCTCTAAACCAGTCTAACTCGTAACTGGCAGCAGGGCAACTCTAGGGAATATGGTAAATTGATGTATTCAAGCTAATAAAAAAAAAAAAATTACTTCACTTCAAACCACAGAAAAGATAGCAGAGAATATCTAGTATGCTACAACTTCACATCTTAGAACATTTTCAATTGTGCAATGCATGACCAGCAGCAGTACTGGCCAGGTACTATAAGTCCCTGAGGAAGTCAGGCATTTGTCAGGTTAACCATTTTAAGCTATGTTACACTGATGAGTGAGCATGTTTAAACACTAAAAGCTCTTATGAAAAAGCTGTGTACGTGATTCCATTACTGAATATGCTAAACAAAGATTTTCTTTACAAAAATTGGAATTAAATAGATAATTTTAATCTATTAGTGCTAAAAGCCCAAATAATACAATGATTTGTCTTACTAAAATATATTCCCCTTTATGTTTTAAGTGCCAAATAATTCCCTTAATTAATACCTCTAAGGAGCAGTTTTCGTTATGAAAATAATGTGCCCTAGGCAGGTGTTAAGCATAAAGACTGTATTACCTGAAAATATGAAGTATCAAATATTTTAGTTCATTTATGTAACCTTTCATTAATTCTAAACACAGGGTTTACTACATCACAAATGCCTGGAGGTGAAAGCACAAAATGAAACAAAGCAAGAAAACGCATTTGCCAGTTCAGGCTACCTTGGCGTATCTGATCTGCAGCGCTCCTGTCTCCAGCTGCTTGATGCGAGAGTCCTGGGTGGAAATGAGGATGCCATCCTTTTTCCAGAGGATGGTGGGCATTAAGGTGCCTGTGGCCACACAGTTCAGCACCAGAGTGCCATCCACAGCCACGGTCTGGTTCACAGGACCCTGCCGGATGACAGGGGGCGGCCGGTCCGCGATCACTGCCAGGACAGACAACAGGAGAGACATCTCTGCAACTGGAAGCAATTTTCTAATCATCTAAGCAACAGCAGTTGCTGGAGGCTTTGAAACAAACTAAAAATAATTAAACAAGTAATTAAAGTTGGAGGCATGCATTATTCAGGGGAGGGTGCATTATAACGATGCACAGCTAGGGATGTTTAAAATGATACACAACACAATATTTTCAGAACAGAGAAAGGATTGCATATTACACACTGCTATCCTCCAGGCATTCTCCAAGTCCAATGCCTTTATGAAGTGATAATGGAAAAAGAAAGGACTTCCCAGATTCTTTGGCAAGGCAGAGATTTCACCTTCTCCATCTTTCACCACTGCCAGGCCTGTGTAATACAGTGTAAATACTTCCAGCATTTAAAGACAGAGAAAAAGGAGGTAGGCAAACAGAGGGTAACCTCACAAACACTTACTGCTTAAATAACCATTTTTTATGTGCCACCAACTCATCTTGGTGCTGTGTCATAATTGTGAGATGCCCACCAGTAGGGTAAAGCTAACACAAATGGATAGAACCCTTTTGGAAAGTTCCTAAAGAAAGTTCCTTCTTCCATGAAATATTTTTCCAGTAGTTTCTGACTTTTATGAGGACTTCAGAGCCACAAAGAAAACTCTACAATCCCATTGTCAGTGTCAATTTTAATGCATCTTTCACACCATGGAAATTGAGTGCTATTGATGGGTCATTTAATTATACTGCACAGAAAAATATAAATCAGTCTCAGTATAAACTGAAAAAAAAAGAATGGTAGTATTCCATTATCCAGAAAAGAAGTAAAAGTTATCTTGCTGCATTTTGGGGGACTTGCTTTAGCCATAATTTTAAATGTCATAAATCTGTTCAGCAGTGGCATGGGGTTCACGTAACTTAAAAACCTGTTTGGTAGCTGAAATATAAACCTGAAGTTCTGATAATTTGTGAACATTAGATATTTCTAAATTACTTTTCATAACAACAGACAGGATGTTAGCACTGGTTTTTTGGTTAAATTCCAACTCCCATCATTTCATTTGCATGTTCAAATGACACTCTGTTTTCAACTGCGCTATTTATCCTTTGGTTCTTGTCCCAACCTGTTGCCACACACTTTAAGGCCTTTAAAATCCTTCTCTGCAGAGACAGACAAAATAAGCCTACTTATAATTTGCAAGTGACTTTGACAAGTTTGTAAAGAGCTTTGCAGTTGGCAAAGGTAAGGAGTTGACTGATCTGTGCTTTATAGGAGAAATCTAATGACACTGAAATTCACGGCTGATTTAAGTCCATTGAAGTTGATGGCGACTCCTCCTACCTTTAGGAAAACCATTCATAAAGTCATTCTAATACCTTTACAAATATTCAGCATATTCTGCCTCCACTTTCACAGAAGTACCAAAAACTGTCCCAAGAAATTATAATAAAGCATCTACTCATCAGATCAATACAGAGAATATAGCAAAGAAAATGCATTTAAAATTATTATTTCCGAGTTCAGATGGCATAGGTCATTAGCAGAAAACTGTTGTAAATTTATTTCTCACCCTGCCATGGCCTTCTCCTCAGTAAAAAAAATGGAAAAAAGAGGATTAGGAAATCCTCTAGCTCCTCACGAATTACAATTTGTGAGGAGCCAGAAGGGATGTAGCCCTATTCCTCCTATGTCAATCCAGGAGGAGGAGGAGATAAATAAACAATTTTATTCTACAGGTTCACTGCATGCTTCTAGTACTTTATTATTTCTATGTTTTCTATAGGACAAAGGGCTATTTTATGGAAGCTTCTCAGACAACATTCTGCTCAAATGCTCTCTCTTTTCCTCTGTAAATGCTAAGACTAGTATTTTCCCCATGTATCTCTGCTGTTAAAAAAAAGAAGTATTTCTGATAATTGGCAAACTGGCCTCACATTACTGCTTGTAGCTATGCTCCCTGTAGCTTTCTCATCTTGTATTTCTTCCTAACTACTCCTAAAAAGGGATGTATAATTTCTGTTATTCTGCTGATCTCCATACAGGTTGATATTTTTTTTATCTTCCTAGGTACAACACAGTATTAAGAAACAGGGGAAAAAACCAGGTAAATGAAGGGCTAAGCAAATGGTTACGCAATAAAAGGGATAAAGAAACAAGCAGCAAGCAATCTGAAAGAAAACTGAATCAAGTGGGAGAAGTTAAGAGTCAGATAAAAATTAACAGATCTGACAAAAATCCATACACTGAATATATTCACGAAGAACAAAATGGAAATATAGAGTTACACATCATCCAGAATTGTAAGCCCCTGACAGAGATGGCCAAACCAGGATTTTTATGTTCAAAGAAACATGCGATCCACATTTATGCAAAACAGATTTCAAAGTAGTGTCACATCACCGCACTGCTGTCTTCAAACAAAAATAAAAAACTTGGAAACGATAAAATGAATCTATGATTACCATCTGTAACTTCCAAGTAGGCTTTTGTTATGATACTTCCTGCAACATTTAAAGTCTGGCAGATGTAGTACCCCACATCAGATCTCTGGACATTGGTGATGGTGAGGTCTCCAGTCTGGGAAACTGAAAATCTGCTGGATGACTGAGGGGGCTGGTATGAGAACAGCAGGTTCTGAAATACATACAGGAAAAAAAATGGGGATAAAATAGGTTATATAAATTCAAATATCAATATGCATACTTTAATACAGCTAAGCGAATTGATTTTTTTTCACATTATACAGAAAACATTCTGCTCCTTATGTCTTAAGCTTGTCTATACCACAATGTTCATAGCTTCTGTAGGATTTTTTAAATGGTAAAATAGGTGCAGATGTGCACATAGAATTGTGTAAGACTTTTGAGATTGCTCTAACACTTTCTAAGATCGATACTGGGCTTTGCACCAAGTGCAACAGAGTCTAGTGAAGATGTGAAATGTACAGATACCACAATGGTGCAAGCAACTGTGGTGAACCTCAGTAATTTGCTTCAATGTTTTTTTTCAGAACTTGCTCCAGGGCATTCGTTTGCTTTCATTTAAATGCAGATGGTGGTTTACTTATCTGTATTTTAACATTTGTCTTCCTACAAATGGAGCAGTTTTAAAAAAAAGAGATGCTCTGTAGGTCTCTCTGAATAGAGTGGTTGTATTTTATGAAAAGTTGTTTAATACTGAATTAAATCCTATACCTATTCAGATAGTTTGGGTATGAAGTACATAGCGTTCACCAAAAATCAGCTGGGGGTTGAATTTCTACCTCTGGCTGAACAACTTGTGAATAAGAATACTTGAGGATCACAGATGGTATATTTATCTCTTTTTCTTGGCTAACTGTATTTTGCATTTCCAAAAATTGCACAAAGGAATGGGACACAACATTCTTCAGTACTAGCAAACCCTATCCTCAACCTCCTCTTTAATTTCTCTCAATCATCACAAGTGGTCACTACTCAGCTGAGTCAAAAACGAGTGGAAAAAAAAAGATGTACTAGACAGCATGTGGCTAAGTAAATAAAATAAAATTAAAAAGTAGCTAAATAAAATAAAAACATAATATTACTGCTATATATACACCACTGAAGATTATAATCTAAATTTGGTCAGCAGTCTAGCTGTACGGAGGTATTCAGACAAAAATGTTGCAAATGGAGTAAAGAAGCCCATCTCCAAGCGTTCTCAATTTCTCTGCCCTATTGTTTTGTAACACAAAGAACCCTGTCATATACTCTTGCACCATTCATTCCTTCATTCACAGGAAAACCAGAATCCCATATTCCTTCTTTCCTTCCAATAAAGAATACTTTGTGTCACATACCTCCTTCAAAAGATGACTGAAAGAAAACTGCAATTCTCTTGCTGCGCTATATTGTGTTTCACCCACTAGCTTTCAAGATCCTTTACAAAGAAGATGAAAATAATTTTCCCTCCCATTCAAATAAGGAACTTGGGAGAAAAAGTGACCTATTCAGGTATGGTCTGTCAGTCAGCTGATGGAGTTGGAAAGCAGTTCCCCTCAGCTCAGAACCAGAGTCCTACCCATGCAGTGATGCAGATCAATGCAGCCAATAGTTTAGTTTGCCAGAAACACAAAAACACATGGCAAACTAGCAGCTGCACCATAAACCCAGAGCCAAACTTTCTGAACATCTGGGATTGTTTGGGGGTTCGACCAAATTTCAGTGTAAGTCATCTCTCCATTTCCATTTCTCCCTGTTAGGTGAAATAGATTATCAGAGTAGTGAAATATGGAATGTTTCTAGTTGATTCACAGATTTATTTTTACATTAATGGAGAAAACAGTAAAACATAGATGTTGTCTAGTAAGACTGACATCACCTAGCATGCACATGCCTCAGAAGCAAAGAATAGGTATCCAGCATCTCCAGGCTCTAGACTTGTTTACCACATTTTTAAAACAATAATTAAAATACTTTTCTGCCACATGAAATAATTTCTGGAAGAAGCTGCCAGGAAGGAGGACAGAGAGGCTGTTTCACCTGGCTCCCCTCTCTCCTCCAGAAGATGGCTGGCTGAGGGTTCCCCGTCGCCTCACACTGGAACGTCACCGTCCTCCCCAGCGCAGCCACCTGGTCTCGGGGCTTTACAACAAACTGTGGAGGCTCTGAAAGGAAAACACCAACAATAAATCAATCCCACTGCCACCAGCTGATTTGAAAGAGCAATTTGCCTCCTGAGTTTTACTGTCATAAACCAGAACAGTTAAGCTTCTTTAATAAGGAGAGGCAGCACAAAGACACATCGGTCTCCAACAGCCACAGCTTCAGCATCACTCAGACCATCTTTTCTGTCTGGACGTCCCAATTAAAACTCTGACTCTGCAACACATGCTTTTAGTGCTTACCCAGGGTACAAGGAAATGAGTCCCACCAGCTTGATGAGACAACTTGCAGAGCAACAGTCACCAATACAAACAAATCTGCAGCAATTTGGTTTTTAAAGGAGGAATGGGGCTGCAAGCCAGAATGGAGAAATCTTTGAGGGACGACTGGCCCAGAGGTCACACTTTGTTAAGGGCTGCAAGACACTGCTGAGTAACCAAGAATTCAGGCTTACACACAGAAAACTCATCATCTCTGATTTAGGAAAGCTGAAGAGAGAAAAAGCCCTTAAGTGCTTATATAAGAGACTACTGATGTAGTCATGATCTCAAAAAAACTTGAAGTCAAAAGCCCAAGAAATACTATTCAAATTATAACCACTTAAAATCTCCAGTTCAAACACACTGAGAAGGAATGATTTTAAAGGAACAGCAGAGCTAAATGTCTTCCTCATTTACATATGCAAGAGCATGTTCAAACAAAATATATATGCAAATGAAGGCAAATTTGAAACATCTGCTCAGCCTAACACTATAAATATTGCCAGCATTGTTTGATTTATACTGACTTCAACAACCCCTTCATCCAGTTGTAAGTAGAATGTCAAAAAATCATGTCAGTCTCATAAAAAAAAAATCAGCATAGATGGCATTGGTGATGCTAGCACAGAAAAAAATCTAGCATGTTCTATAGGCTGTTAACTCTTGCTTCTTAAAATATGTGCATTAAAGCCCATTTATTTATTAATTTCCATTTTTTCTGATCATCTGCCTAAAACTAATTATGCTCTTCCCCTTCTTTGGATTGAGAATAAAGGGGATGTTTTGTATCTGATTTTAAGGAATCCAATTATTTTGATATTCATGTCCTTTTTTTCCCTTACAGCATTGATGTTTTCACAAGATTTTCCTTGTAAAACAGTGCAAAATATGTAATTCAAAGATGTGTTTGGTAAACATCAAGTGGTAGTGGCTTTGTCTAGAATAAATTCAATAACACTTAAGACCTTTTTTTTAAAAAAAATGCTTTCAGTGTTCCTATGGGCCAATTCTTGCAGTTATCTGTTCCCCCTGCCTTGTGTCTACTCCCTGGTGTGCTCATATCAGAATATTTTCTTCCTACGCCCCTCCTGCTTTGAGAGGAATTTTTGAAGCATAACACTATTGTCTATATTTGGATGCAAATGCTACCTTTCCTAGCATTTCCTTAGATAAGAAACTATGCAAAGCAAGGCTAAGATCGACCCACTGTAATTAGCTGACTTCAAAACATTTAGCTCTGAAACGTCCAACCGGTACCTTGGAAGAAGGTGTGGGAAGACTTTGACATGACAGCAGGTTTAATTTGGGAAGGAGGGAGAACTGGCTGGGGGTTGTGAGGCATGGAGGGGGGAAAATGGAGATGAGGGTGAAGCACCTTTGTTATGCTGCTAGATTCTAGTAACAAGAATAAATTTAGCATACAGTTAAAGGTAGGGCTTGGCAGGCTCTGTCCTAGCCTCTGACACAATGCCACGCAATGTGGAACTGAGGGTTTCTAAACCCTGTGCTAGTGCAGAGGATTTATGGGTTTTCAGGTTTTGCTGGACTCAAGGACAGGTACAACTATAAAGAAAATAAAATGGTTCTGACCACTGGAGAATGGTTCTGACCACCAGAATCACCACTGTGATTATAGTCCCACTGGGTGGTTGTGATTGTAGTACCTCAAGATGATCATTCAGGGACTACTTAACACAAAAAAGGAAGGGGAATTTAGTCTTATAGGCAGCCATGGTAGAATTTATAAACAGGCACATATTTCTCTAAGTATTATTCGAAATATGTATTTTGTATGGATACTAGTCTAAAAGTATATGCATATTGCCCATACATTTTATTCTATTGCCCATATTATTCTAATCTAATGCCCATATTATTCTAAATCTATTGCAATTAGGGTAAATGATAAAAATCTTATTAGCTTCAATGTTAGAAGAATTAAACAGTGTTATGTGAAACTATTATTAAATTCCATTCTGTGTTTACTGTACTGAAAGCTTTTTCACTGCGGTTTTTTTAGTATAATTTAGTTTTTTGTCACACCTTGGGTCACATACATGTGGTATGTAATGATGAGACTGTAAAAGATGTCAAAATAATAAATCCCTGTAAGAAAATATCAACTTCTATCCTAGAAACCTATTAAGCAAACACAATTTTTTAGCACACTTTGAAGTTCAAGCCATGCAGTCACTGAAGAAAGGAGACATTAGGATTTGACTCGTCACATCATATAAAAACAGACAGAAAATTTGCAACCCATTACCTTTCTCTTTGCCATTAAGTTACCCATACTTCATGCAGAATTTATTCTGTTCCATGTGTCTTGCCAATAACAAGTGAAAGGTGGGAGCTGAGTGGTTGGAGGACATGGAAGGGGATGGATGGGAAGGGGAGGAGAAGTTCCCGTCACAGTGACACGATGACTAGAAGATGGCCAATAAAATTTCAACTTACCAGACACAACTAAAAACAAAAACAAAACAAAAAGAAAACATGGAATAAATAAAATTGAAACAGACATGAAAACAAAGCAAAGAATAAAGCAAAATTAAAAAAAAAATAGAAAATGGATCCTTGATAAGGACCTTAGAAAGCAAACACATATTCTGATATATGAAAAACAGGTTTATAATGTTGAATGACATTTTTATATTTTGATTTTTAAACAGCAGTCTCTATCACATACTGAAAAGTAGGTGGTACAGGAAAATGGGTAGCAGACTGAAATACTGGCCAGGCAGTCTGGCTTCTACTTCAAGCCTTTCTGATGAACTGATAAATTTGAGTAATTTTTTTTCCCCCACATTATTATTATTCATTTGCATCAAGATTTTTCCATGGCAAAATTAACTTAAAAACTCCAGTAAATATCAATCTGCAACATTGCTGAAATGGAGCAGTAACATTTACAGCCTTTCTAAAGCATCCAAACATTTACAAATGGAATATATTTTTCTGAAACTAACATCTGTTAAAAAAGAAAGTTTTTTAAAAAAAATGAATAATATGCAAAGGCATTCAGGCAACACAAAAATCTCTTTAGTATAGGATTGCTGAGTCAAGGTCATAAGGCTCACTAATAAACTGTAAATGCAAACTATACCACAATTAAAACAAGTTTGAAAAGATTCTTAACTCTGCTCTTTGTCCCCAAAATCAGAATTTCATTAAAATATTCAAAACAAAACATTTATTACAAAACATTAGATTTTTCAATGGAAATGATCAGGGGTACATTATCAAATATTAAATTATCCTTCAACCATAGTTCAAAATTTTCATCAACTTTGAAATGGCTTAGATCCTGGCAAGGTAACTTTGCTTATAAAGGAAAAACATGTTAGAAATTATTCCAACCGCATATCAGTGACGGAAGGAACAGATTGAAAATATTAAAAAAAAGCATTTTGAAAATATACACAGATACTGACCAAAAAGAAGAAAAAAAGTTAATTAAAAAAAAGGTTAATTGGTGATAATTACAGTAAAGGTTCAAAAATATACAATATTTTAAATGCTTGCTATACTTTGGTCTTATCACTTTATGCTGAGAGTAAACCAGCTCTTGCTCATCAAGGGCACGCTTTCATATTGAGTAGCTAAGCACCCCAATTCACCATCCTCTGATAAACACATGCAGGAAACCAATAATATCCACTTTGCCAACATTCATTAGGCATGAGGAATCCTGGCCTCCTGTTCTAATAAATACAGAGGACTCCAGGTGTATTACAAAAAAAAAGCAGAAAGAGAATCAGATAGAATATTGGAATGTGGAACGTGTTGAAGACAAGAACCTGCAATTGCATATGCCAGACCCAGATCAACCAGATTTGAGTTTTATAAGAGACTTTTTTTTTTTAAGGAAATAATCTCAAAGAGAGGAAGTTTAAAATATAATTTTAGAAAGATTTGAGTTTTAAAGAACTATTCTGGATGTGCACTAGCCTTCTTTAAAGGGTATTTCTCAAAAGCAAAAATCAGTGTGCATTACTCTGCTAAGATTATCTGTAAGTCTACAATTCCTAACAGGAATGGCCAAGAAATGCTACACATGAATTCCTGAGAGAAATCTGCTCTTCCCCAGGATTCAGCTCCCAGCTACTCCTGTTAATGTGTAAGTCTGTATTTCCCAGTAATTGTTGCTTTTCAACTGAAAAGCTCTTTACTAAACTTGCAATCTGACATGCCCTGGAATTAGAAATGATTCTCCACAAAACACCACTCATTGTACATGAAACAGCCTGGTAAGAGACTTAATGGAATGAAATTCTTGCACAGAGAAAGCAAATCTAAATTTATTTTTTTTTCATTTGTTGAGTAGTGCCAAGAAGAGGAAAGTTCAGCCTTCTCAGTAGCAATGCAGAGCTGCTCCAGTCCTCTACTGTAAAATGCCTAACAGGGTGCTCAATTATATTTCCACAAATTAAATTAACTTCTAAGTGCTGAATTCCCCTTTTCTTTTTATTAGACATTTCTTACTGTAGGTCAAAAATAATCCTGTCAAGCAAATATATTTTTGCCCACCTGTGAAAACAGAGGGGGACACTGATACATGAAAATAAATCCCTGTAGAAACAGGGCATCATTGGTTGCAAATCTGTGGAAAGGGCAAAGGGTGAAGTTTCATAGAAAAAATTTGAACAATTCTGTCAGAAGGATATCATGTGGTTTAAAAGAACAACAATAATAGCAACATCTACAACAAAGACCACATTCTTAGTTTGATTTGCAGCCTATTGATATCTAAGGTTACTAAAACTGAGAGGCAAATAGTTTTTCCTCTATTATAGCACATTTTATTTGACACCACTTTCAATTATAAAGTAAATTAATTTTCTCTGTGTTAATCATGGCTTTTCACATGGCAATTAGGTGGAATAACCTGTTTGTAAAGGCAGGAAGTTAGCATGTAAAACCGCAACTACCAAAGGAATAATATTTTTGCCTTTCATATAATTTCCTTGACATGCAAGGCTTTTCATGGAAGACGTGTCCAGTTGCTGAACAAAAACCAAAAGAAAAGTGGTTTCCAGTCTAGTGACGTGATCTTTTAATGCCTTATTCTTTCCAGCAATCCTATCAAGCTCACTGGGACTATTGGTATCATTAAATCCACTCACAGCGGCAGGAATTTGCAGGTTTAGGACTTAAACTACAGCCCAGTACAGTTGCCAGATGTTAATGGAGCAACTATTACATTTGACAGATGCAGTTTTGTAGGTTCACATGATAATCAGGTTGGAAGCAACCTCAGAGGTCTCCATTCCAGCCTCCTGCTCAAGAGGGTCAGCTACAGGGTCAGCCAGGGCTTGATCCAGTCAGGGCCTGAAAAATTGCAAGGGATAACAATGCACAGACTCTGGCAGCCCACTCTGCTGCTTGGCAGGGGAGAAATGCCTTCTCATGTCCAGCCTCAATCTGCCTTGTTTCAACTTAAATCCATCCCATCTTGTGCTCCCTCCATGCACTGCTGGGATGAGCCTGCGTCTGTCTCACCCTGGGGTCTCATATGAGATCTCAACATGCTGTGTGCAATACGTACGTCTCAAAAAAACACATTTTGTGCCTCATTTTGTAGCTCTCCTCACAGAGGAGAAGGCAAATGTTGATCTAGTGTTTCTCTAGAACCCACTGGTTTCCTCATATTTAAAATAAAATATTACAGCGTCGCATCCATTTTTTAGTCTGCCATTAGGCAAGTTAAAAGCCTCAAGTACACCACTCTTGATAGCTTGTTAGCAATTATCTATCTCAAAAGGAGTAAAATTATAGACATTTTATTTTATGTACACTAATAAGATGCTTTTGATATCGTGAGAGCCAAGGTGGTACTTAACTACTAAAGAGTATTTTGTTCAGCATGTTTAATACTCATTAATTACTGTTCTCACTATACTATTTACAAATATCTTCCAGGTGCTTGGAGATATCCTGTTATTTAACTGCCACAAGTTGAACAATTTTGATTGAAGCTCAATGTGTTTCACTTTTGATTATTTAAAAAAAATCTTCAAGTCTTCAAGGACTGCTGGACACTAACAGAAGTTATAATAAAATAAGCAAGAAAGTACAACTCTAGACCAGAGAAATTAAACAATCCAAATTTCCAGATCAATAATTACACACAACAATCAAGCTCATATCCAGTCTTCAGCTTCTGTATAAATAACTGGCTAATTATGACTAATCTAGACATTGGCAGTCACAATGAAATTCAGATTCCTTTCAAGTAATTTTGTGATACATCAATCCCAGTTCAAGTGAAATATATCAGAGATGGCATGTGCCTGTAGGAATGAAGTGGTGGGAGATGGGACAGGAGTATGAGCAGAAGTGCTGGAGTAGACAGTGGAGTGAGAAGCTGGAATTTCCATTGGGACTGGCCGAGTCCAGAGTAGACAGTGAGAGGGGAGAAACTGCAGAGCCAACAACAGAGATAGCACAGAGATTGCTGTGTTACCTTGCAGGGAGCTGAAACTCAGCTGTTTGTCATCTTCATGTGAAATAAATGGGTGAGAAACCCACAGTTTATGACCTCTATCTGAAATGTGTGGGTACAGAAAAGTTGGGTACTACAGTCACATGTAGAGGAAATGTAAGAGTCTGATGATGTTTAGCAAACTGGTCAAACTCTGACTTTTCACACTTTAAAAAACATAAACAAGAAATCCTGAATAATTCCAAACAAAAACTCTGCAAAAAGCTGCCAACATCTTCTATTCAAAAATGTGTTTAATTTCTAATCCTGATAAACTCTGAAAACTAAAGAAACACTTTCAATGCTCAAATATCTGAATGAGGACCATTGAATACCTCCCTGCAACATGACCACCAGATATTTATGTTGGTGTTTTGCAAAAACTATTATTAAGGGAGATAGTTTAAGACAATGTGCCATGTTCCACTTCCTATCTGGTGATTTGTAGGCTATTTGTTCTTATCAAAGCAATCTGAAACTCTCAATATCCTTGATATGCACATCTCTCTGCAGTCATTTGTGGGAAGTATCACTTTCTAAAGAGAAATAAACAAAAGCCTGAATCTCTTGTCCTGAAAAAGATATAAATGCTGCCATTCATCTGCCTCCTGGCTTCAGCCTGTGAAAAATCCAGGAACACAACACCAGGTACAGTACAAAAGAACTGGGATATATCACTTTTCATCCTCCCTGGGCTCTCTATTTTCAGCTGTCACTCCTTGAGGTATAAATACATATCCACACAATTCACAGTTTTTCCCAGATTTTCTGCTGAAGTTCCCATTCTTGTGGGACCAGCCTGGGCCACCCTTGCTCGCTGTGAATGCTTTCACAGTGCCTGGTCCCAGAGCAGCAAGTTTGACACAGAGCAGCACAAATGTCTGAGCAAAGTCTCGCAGGCTGGCGCCAAGCGCGCCGCAGCCACGGGGCTGAGGTAAAATGTTTACATGAGATTTTTGATGTCTCCAATCAAAAGTGATGA